GATGTTCATTAAGCAGCTTTCTGACACAGAAGCTCCAGCATGACAAGACACCAATGCTTGTTTACAGTCAACAACCATTTCTACAGGTCATAGTGAGTCACACTGTATGACAGGAGTTCATGGCAGAACAATCAGTCAGCCACACTGTATGGCATGAGTTCATGGCAGAACAGTCAGTCAGCCACACTGTATGACAGGAGTTCATGGCAGAACAGTCAGTCAGTGACACTGTATGACATAAGTTCATGGCAGAACAATCATTCAGCCACACTGTATGACATGAGTTCATGGCAGAACAGTCAGTCAGCCACACTGTATGACATGAGTTCATGGCAGAACAATCAGTCAGCCACACTGTATGACATGAGTTCATGGCAGAACAGTCAGTCAGTGACACTGTATGACATGAGTTCATGGCAGAACAGTCAGTCAGTGACACTGTATGACATGAGTTCATGGCAGAACAGTCAGTCAGTGACACTGTATGACATGAGTTCATGGCAGAACAGTCAGTCAGTGACACTGTATGACATGAGTTCATGGCAGAACAGTCAGTCAGTGACACTGTATGACATGAGTTCATGGCAGAACAGTCAGTCAGTGACACTGTATGACATGAGTTCATGGCAGAACAGTCAGTCAGTCACACTGTATGACATGAGTTCATGGCAGAACAATCAGTCAGCCACACTGTATGACATGAGTTCATGGCAGAACAGTCAGTCAGTGACACTGTATGACATGAGTTCATGGCAGAACAGTCAGTCAGTCACACTGTATGACATGAGTTCATAGCAGAACAATCAGTCAGCCACACTGTATGACAGGAGTTCATGGCAGAACAGTCAGTTAGTCAGTGACACTGTATGACAGGAGTTCATGGCAGAACAGTCAGTTAGTCAGTGACACTGTATGACATGAGTTCATGGCAGAACAGTCAGTTAGTCAGTGACACTGTATGACATGAGTTCATGGCAGAACAGTCAGTTAGTCAGTGACACTGTATGACATGAGTTCATGGCAGAACAGTCAGTTAGTCAGTGACACTGTATGACATGAGTTCATGGCAGAACAGTCAGTTAGTCAGTGACACTGTATGACAGGAGTTCATGGCAGAACAGTCAGTCAGTGACACTGTATGACATGAGTTCATGGCAGAACAGTTAGTCAGTGACACTGTATGACATGAGTTCATGGCAGAACAGTCAGTCAGTGACACTGTATGACATGAGTTCATGGCAGAACAGTCAGTCAGTGACACTGTATGACATGAGTTCATGGCAGAACAGTCAGTTAGTCAGTGACACTGTATGACATGAGTTCATGGCAGAACAGTTAGTCAGTGACACTGTATGACATGAGTTCATGGCAGAACAGTCAGTCAGTGACACTGTATGACATGAGTTCATGGCAGAACAATCAGTCAGTGACACTGTATGACATGAGTTCATGGCAGAACAGTCAGTCAGTGACACTGTATGACATGAGTTCATGGCAGAACAGTCAGTTAGTCAGTGACACTGTATGACATGAGTTCATGGCAGAACAGTCAGTCAGTGACACTGTATGACATGAGTTCATGGCAGAACAGTTAGTCAGTGACACTGTATGACATGAGTTCATGGCAGAACAGTCAGTTAGTGACACTGTATGACATGAGTTCATGGCAGAACAGTCAGTCAGTGACACTGTATGACAGGAGTTCATGGCAGAACAGTCAGTTAGTCAGTGACACTGTATGACATGAGTTCATGGCAGAACAGTCAGTCTGTCACACTGTATGACATGAGTTCATGGCAGAACAGTCAGTCAGTGACACTGTATGACATGAGTTCATGGCAGAACAGTCAGTCAGTGACACTGTATGACATGAGTTCATGGCAGAACAGTCAGTCTGTCACACTCTCTGCCAGGGTTCATCAGTCAGGTCAGGTGAGAGATATCTGTAAACATTCTAAATTTTTACAAAAATAGTTAAATCTGTCAACTTTGTATAAACATTGGATGCAAACCAGGACCTCGGGCCATGGTTGGTGTTTTTTGCTGGAATGCTGATTCAAGTGGAAAAGGAGTTATTATATAATAATCCTCTGAGAGAATAAGCGGAGACAACAAAGATGTTGTATAAATGATGCATGTAGATATGCTTTATACACATATCTGTACGTGACCATGTAATCAATAGATATAACCATACGACTGACTGAAGGGATCAAACCATCAGTCACAGAAGGCAAAGGGTAGAGCACATCCTGCCCACATTGAAGTCTTAGGGTCAACTACGACTGAGCACAACAATGTTGTTACTTGTAATTCTGTTATACAACTTGCGACCAACCACTGACAACTGAATTTGTAGAGGTAGTTAAGTGATGAGTTATGTTGTCATTTTAAACATACGCATCACATATACGCACACACATATACACACAAGCATGTACACACACACATATACACACACACATGTAATCTTTGATGTGCCCTCCCCTTCCTTTTGGATGCAGCTGCGGGTGATTACACACTCAGTGATTTGTTTTAAAACTGAAAAGTTGATGAAGTTGCTTTGTCCACAGTTTGGAGTTTGGTGCTGGTCTAGTGAGACTGTACTTGCCCACAGTTTAGAGTTTGGTGCTGGTCTAGTGAGACTGTACTCCCCCACAGTTTGGATTTTGGTGCTGGTCTAGTGAGACTGTACTCCCCCACAGTTTGGAGTTTGGTGCTGGTCTAGTGAGACTGTACTCCCCCACAGTTTGGAGTTTGGTGCTGGTCTAGTGAGACTGTACTTGCCCACAGTTTAGAGTTTGGTGCTGGTCTAGTGAGACTGTACTCCCCCACAGTTTAGAGTTTGGTGCTGGTCTAGTGAGACTGTACTTGCCCACAGTTTAGAGTTTGGTGCTGGTCTAGTGAGACTGTACTCCCCCACAGTTTAGAGTTTGGTGCTGGTCTAGTGAGACTGTACTTGCCCACAGTTTAGAGTTTGGTGCTGGTCTAGTGAGACTGTACTCCCCCACAGTTTGGAGTTTGGTGCTGGTCTAGTGAGACTGTATGTCTCGATCTTCTAAGACAGAAAAGCTTGTTCAGAAGTGAGTGCAACTGCTGAGTCTGCACACATCCAGTGCTGGAGCAACATTTAGTGCTGGAGCAACATCTAGTACGCCAGCAACATCTACTGCTGGAGCAACATCTAGTTTTGGAGCAACATCTAGTTCTGGAGCAATATCTAGAGCTGGAGCAACATCAAGTGCTGCAGCAACATCTAGTGCTGGAGTAGACATATAGAACTGGAGCAATATCTAGTACTGGACCAACATCTAGTGCTCCAGCCACAGAACCAGGCCTAATCATTTGTTTCTCCAGCCTGTTAGAGCCCTGCTGTCTTTAATCCCTACTAGTTGGCTGCTTGTGAATGACATTATATAGATTAGCACTGTAGATGTTCACAGGCACATATGGATGAATGAATGAATACATAAATCAATCAATTAATAATGACACACCACTGACTCAGGACATTCGCACACGCGCTCCGTCCTCTTTATTAGCAGCCGATGAAGAGTTTTCATGATGATGGTGCCGGCTGTATATGGAGTAAAAGCCTGCTGTTTCACAGATCTGGCTTATATGTTTCACAGATCTGGCTTATATGTTTCACAGACCTGGCTTATATGTTTCACAGATCTGGCTTAAATGTTTCACAGATCTGGCTTATATGTTTCACAGATCTGGCTTATATGTTTCACAGATCTGGCTTATATGTTTCACAGATCTGGCTTATATGTTTCACAGATCTGGCTTATATGTCAGTTCCTTGCCTCCAGGTGGAAGGAAACACCCCTAATTAGTTGCCTCCTGTGCCAGGCTTGTTGAGAGGTTAGGGGGGGGGGGGGGGCAGGAACCCACAAGAGGAACTCAGAAAACTAGATCAGCCATGGAACCTGCTTCAGGGAAAGCACAATGATGATCAGATGATCAACAGGTCTACTAACAATGCAGAAGCACAATGATGATCAGATGATCAACAGGTCTACTAACAATGCAGAAGCACAATGATGATCAGATGATCAACAGGTCTACTAACAATGCAGAAGCACAATGATGATCAGATGATCAACAGGTCTACTAACAATGCAGAAGCACAATGATGATCAGATGATCAACAGGTCTACTAACAATGCAGAAGCACAATGATGATCAGATGATCAACAGGTCTACTAACAATGCAGAAGCACAATGATGATCAGATGATCAACAGGTCTACTAACAATGCAGAAGCACAATGATGATCAGATGATCAACAGGTCTACTAACAATGCAGAAGCACAATGATGATCAGATGATCAACAGGTCTACTAACAATGCAGAAGCACAATGATGATCAGATGATCAACAGGTCTACTAACAATGCATAAGCACAATGATGATCAGATGATCAACAGGTCTACTAACAATGCAGAAGCACAATGATGATCAGATGATCAACAGGTCTACTAACAATGCAGAAGCACAATGATGATCAGATGATCAACAGGTCTACTAACAATGCAGAAGCACAATGATGATCAGATGATCAACAGGTCTACTAACAATGCAGAAGCACAACCTAAAGGCCCGATTTAAGCAGCAGATAGGAATGACCATTAATTCCGTCCAAAGACACCACCATTCTGCAAACATATGTGTTAATATTTCAGCCATCTCTGCATTCCAGGTCCCAAACATACCAGTAGATTATTACTGCAAATATTAAATCCATAAATATTTACGTATTATCACACAATGTTATATCTGTAAGGAAATGAGCTGACACCAGAAAACAGACTGAGATGATATCACAATAGAAACACCTGAGGAAACTATCACCTGGATACAATCAGCAGTGTGTCTGTAGACGTGTTCACCCTATGGGTCCTGGTACTGCCACCTGTCGTCTGGACAAACTGCTGAGAGTGTTTATGGATTTGTGGATGTCTTTGTCCCTTGTGTCCTGGCATTGCCATCTGTCATCTGGATAAATTGGAAAGTGTGTTCGTGGATGCATTTGTCCCATGTGTCCCAGCACTGCCATCTGTCATCTGGTCTTCGAATGAAAGCACTTTGAAAGGAGGGCCTGTTCGCAAGATGGCTTCCACTGCATCATGTCGACTGATTTCTTTCAGTTTGTATACAAGCTGGCGAATGGAAGCGTCTGGGTGTCGTTTGGTCCACTCACTAAGCACCTGGCAGGCAAGAAAACAACAACTATTTTACTGAGAAATAAGCGTGCCACTAATGCTACAAAGTGTGCCACTAATGCTACAAAGTGTGTCCCTAATGTTACAAAGTGTGTCCCTAATGTTACAAAGTGTGTGTGTGTGTAACTATGTTTTTATTTAAAGGGGTGCAGTAGGCTCAATAAATATAGGACCGATGCACACTAGACAACACAAAGACTACAAACAATAGGTAGGCATTCCTGTATTCAAACCTGCTGCTTCCAGTGACAGCAGCTCGTTCACAGAACAAGTTTTACTTGGACACATCTGTAGAATACTGAAGCTTTGACTATGGCAAGAAATCATCTGTAGAATACTGAAGCTTTGACTATGGCAAGAAATCATCTGTAGAATACTGAAGCTTTGACTACGGCAAGAAATCATCTGTAGAATACTGAAGCTTTGACTACGGCAAGAAATCATCTGTAGAATACTGAAGCTTTGACTACGGCAAGAAATAATTTGTAGAATACTGAAGCTTTGACTATGGCAAGAAATCATCTGTAGAATACTGAAGCTTTGACTACGGCAAGAAATAATTTGTAGAATACTGAAGCTTTGACTATGGCAAGAAATCATTTGTAGAATACTGAAGCTTTGACTACGGCAAGAAATCATTTGTAGAATACTGAAGCTTTGACTATGGCAAGAAATCATTTGTAGAATACTGAAGCTTTGACTACGGCACAAGAAAAAATATTAAAGCATTGGTGGTAAAATGCACACACACACACACCTACTTAAACACGCATATATATATATATATATATATATATATATATATATATATATATATATATATATATATATACACACACCCACATATATACACACCTACATGCACACACACACACACCCACAGAAACACACACACAAACACACACACAGACACACTAACACAGACATACAGATACTCACAGACACAAACAGACTCACACACACACCCACAGACACAGAGAAAAATACTCACAAACACATATGCACAAACAGATGCAGACACACACACAGATACACACAACACACAGGCACACACACAGATGCCGACATGCAAACACACACACATACAAACACACACACCGGCAGACACAAACACAGGCAGACACACACAGAGACAGATACACACACACACACACAGACACAACATACAGGAACACACGCAGATGTACACACTCAGACACACACATACAAACACATGCCTGCTAACACAAACACATGCAGACACATACACACAGACATATACACACAGACACATCAAGACACTCATGCAGACACATACACACATTCAGACTCACATACAAACACAACAAAGACACACACAAACAGACACATACATGTAGACACACCCACTCACAGACACACACAAACTCACAGACAAACATGCAGACACACACAAACACACAAATGCACACATACACACAAACAAACACATACACAGACACACACAAAAACACAGACACACACAAATACACACAGACTTATACACGCAGACATAAACACAGACATATAGACACACACAGATAGACAGACACAGACATATAGACACAGGCAGACATATAGTCACAGACACACACATATACACAGAGAAAACAATCACGCAGACACTTACGCAGACACACACACAGACAAGGTGCGCACACACACACACACACACATATGCAGGCACACACAGACAGACACATATCTCAAAAACACTGAGACACATCCACACATAGATGCACAAGCCTACAGACACACACACTGTCACACACATGCATACACACAGGCACACACACATACAACTCATAAAATTAATGATATACACACTCATACATACACAAGCACGCCAACACATACACACCACATATTTACATGTCACACATACACGCATATGTACAAATCATACACTCCTTATTTAATTGTAAACTGATAATGCAATATGGATTACTAATTAAATTTTAGGTGGCATATAACTGCTTGTAATTATGAACTGGAAAAGTCTGCGCTTAAATTTAATAGGAGGAACTCCTTGTATTTTTCAGATCAAGTGGAAGATAGTTCCATAAATCAGCAGCATAATATGCTACATTTGTTTCATATAAGTCTATTCTATTCTAGTTGTAAGCAAATGAGACAAACTTAGTCGCTTGCTATTTATAGGATTGGATTTAATCAACTGGAAAAAGTGGTTTAAAGTATTTTGAGATAAAATGTTATGAATAAATAATACCCTTGTAAAAAATTAAACCTTTACTAAATGGCAGAAGTCTTAAATGGCTATAAAGATTATTTTTTCAAAATACCTGAAACCAGGTGTCACGCTGGATTTGGCACAACCATCCCAAACTTTTTTTTAAAACAATGCTGGGCTTAAGGGAGATTCAATCACATGAGCCAACAGACTGATGTAAGAGGGCTAGCTAATGCACCTCTCTGACTTGCCATACGGCGTATAAATGATCATACATAAAGAGATAATATCAAATGTTGCCCACGAAGAATAGCCTCACAACACAAACGTTTGGAAAAAATTGTCGCACAAAGATTGACCACCTACTTGGAACTACATGATAAGTTCCCACCAACACTTGGAGGGTACAGGTTAAATAAAGAGACATGGTTCAATGCTGCAGTTTTCGCCTACGATGTGTACGAGGGATTTCAGATTAAAGAAGAGATGTGCGGCAGTGTTGGACTTAGAAGATGCCTACAATAAAGTACCATACGATTATTTAATGCAATTACTGCTTAAACTAGAAGTTAATCCTATTCTGATCCGCTGGATTGCTGCGGTCCTGTTCCAGAGAAAGATTGTACTAAGATGTGGTAGCTGGTCCTCAGAACCACAAACGATATGTCCAGGCTTGCCACAGGGATCACCGCTTTCACCAGTCTTATTCAACGTTTATACGGTGATGGTCACTGAGCAGCAGTTGAATGGAAAGGGAAGGACTTTGTCATTTGCTGATGACATTTTGATTTATCGACGAGGGCTTGATAGACAGGAGATCGCCAGCACTATGCACAAAGAACTCGATCGAATTGCCGCCTGGTGTGATGGTTCCAATGCCTATGTCAATCCTTCGAAGGCATCAGTGTCATGGTTCTCTTTGAACAATCACATTGTCAAGTCGGACTTACCAGAAGTGAAAATGCGTGATAATGTATTGATCAGAACCAACGTTATGACGTTTCTCGGGGTGAGGTTCGATCGCAGCTTGTCATTCAGGGAACACGTTGACCATGTGATAACAAAAGCACGCAAAAGTCTATCTGCAATGAGGATTATGGCTGCTTCCAATATTGAGCAAAGACTACTAATACTTCTATTCTACGGTCAGGTCCTTTCCCCCATTGAATACGCTCTGGCCATCCTCACTGTCAGTGCTACCCAGATTGAACGACTCGAAAAGGTGCAAAATGAAGCCATGCGCATTATTTTGGGATGCACTAGAGACACATCCTGTGGAGCAATGAGGTATCTACTTGACTTTCCAACAATGAACCAAAGGATCAGGATGTGGAGGGCTCGGGCATATCTCAAAATATGCGCTGATAAGAAACACCCACTGCATCAAGCGCTTTTTAGTGAAAAGGGCGACAGACTGAAGAGGGGGAAATCGTGGCTAGGTCGGGCAGAAGAAGATATTAGGCAAATATGCAGCCTAACCGACATCATACCTGGTGCAGAATGGATACCTGTGCCTCAGGCGTTTATTTGTACATTTTCCTGTATTGTCACACTCAACAGGCGATGTAGAGAAGAGAATCCTGTTGCTGTTAATGCAGAGGTCAACGCTCTCATCGGTGAAAATTCAGACGAAGCAGATGCAATAATCTATACAGATGGATCCGTTATACGCCAAAGAAGAAGCGCATGGGCATTTACAGCACGCTCAGCGGGCAGAACAGTCAAAGAAGCCAACGGTGCCTTCTCCATGACAACCAGCAGCATGGCGATGGAGGTGATGGCAGTGACACAAGCGCTTGCCTGGCTTGAAACACAAAAATACACCCGCGTGTGTATACTCAGTGATTCAATGAGTATGATCCGGAAGGTTCAGGCAGGTTCAGTGCGAAGACAATGGCTTGAATCATTACAGAAGTCCACTGTTCGTGGAGTCACCTTTAATTTTGTTCCGGGACATGCAGGCGTCGATGGAAATGAAAGAGCTGACATGTTGGCTGGATCCGCTATCACTACCGACGGTCAGCCTATGGATCATGCTGATATTATCAATGCCCTCAGAGAAATGGGAAGGATAGAGGACTTTGGTGGCTGTGAATCCACATCACTCACCAGAATGGCAGACTTGGGAATTAAGATCGGCACAGCAAAATACGAGACGCACACCGGACACGTCAGAAGACTTGTTAATCAACATAGAACTGGTACTATTAGCCATCGGACGTTGGGGTTCATACTGAGGGGAGGATCTGAGCACCTATGGACATGTCTGGAGTGCAATGAGGATAACCCAACTAACTAACTAACTAACTAACTAACTAACTAACTAACTAACTAACTAACTAACTAACTAACTAACTAACTAACTAACATAAAGAAAGACAATGCAAGAACACGAAACATCAGCAACAACATTCTAACCTGTTGTGTTGGGCTTAGTCTCTGGCTCTCCCCATCTCTGCATTCAAATGATGGTAGAGCATCACTAATGCCCAGAGTCACCGCTAACAAGCACCAGTCTTTGCCCATGGGTTCTGGAGGATCCAACAACAGGCTCAGCAATCTCTGAGTGTGAATTGTCAGGTGAGAAATGGGCAAGTCCATGCCCAGGGTTACTGTCTCTAGAATCTCCTCAGATCCCAGGCAGGCAATGTCAATGAAGTCCTCCTTCTGGTTGCCGCTCAGCACCACGGATGAGCGGTTGTCAAGCTGCATGCGAAGCAGCTCTGTGGGCGAGTAGGACCTGACAACCTTGCCATGGTCCCGGAGCTGTGAAGGGCTGAGAGTGTAGCGCTCCACACACAGCCCAGGACAGACATTCTCTACCACCTGTTCAATGATGTTCACAAAGTCTTCCAGGAAGTAGTAAAGATTGGCACGTTCCCCTTCAGGGGAGCGAACTTTGATCTCCAGGTACTGCTCATTCTTGTCCATGTCAATGATGCCCTCCAGACTGGCACAGCAGTACTTGGAACCATGGTGCCACTGGTAGAGGTCAGCATCTTTCTCCTGACCTTTGGGCTTGTCATCCTCATCTTCGCTGTCCCCACCATCTTCATGGAGCTGTTCGTCTCCAGACAGGATGCTGCGTCGAAGAAACACCTGCAGGAACAGTGGCCAATAAGCACAGCGTAAATCACAGGAACAAATATTGTACAAAACTACACATACGATGTCACAGAAAATTGACACATAAGACAGCACACACCACAAGACAGCGGACACTACAAGACAGCGGACACTACAAGACAGCGGACACTACAAGACAGCGGACACTACAAGACAGCGGACACTACAAGACAGCGGACACTACAAGACAACGGACACTACAAGACAACGGACACTACAAGACAACGGACACTACAAGACAACGGACACTACAAGACAGTGGACACTACAAGACAGTGGACACTACAAGACAGTGGACACTACAAGACAGCGGACACTACAAGACAGTGGACACTACAAGACAACGTACACTACAAGACAACGTACACTACAAGACAACGTACACTACAAGACAACGTACACTACAAGACAACAGACACTACAAGACAACGGACACTACAAGACAGCGGACACTACAAGACAGCGGACACTACAAGACAGCGGACACTACAAGACAGTGGACACTACAAGACAGTGGACACTACAAGACAGTGGACACTACAAGACAGTGGACACTACAAGACAGTGGACACTACAAGACAGTGGACACTACAAGACAGCGGACACTACAAGACAGCAGACACTACAAGACAGCAGACACTACAAGACAATGTACACTACAAGACAACGTACACTACAAGACAACAGACACTACAAGACAGCGTACACTACAAGACAGCGTACACTACAAGACAACGTACACTACAAGACAACGTACACTACAAGACAACAGACACTACAAGACAGCGTACACTACAAGACAACGTACACTACAAGACAACGTACACTACAAGACAACGTACACTACAAGACAACAGACACTACAAGACAACAGACACTACAAGACAACAGACACTACAAGACAACAGACACTACAAGACAACGTACACTACAAGACAGCGTACACTACAAGACAACGTACACTACAAGACAACGTACACTACAAGACAACAGACACTACAAGACAACGTACACTACAAGACAACGGACACTAGAAGACAACGGACACTACAAGACAACGTACACTACAAGACAGTGGACACTACAAGACAACGTACACTACAAGACAACGTACACTACAAGACAGCGTACACTACAAGACAGTGGACACTACAAGACAATGTACACTACAAGACAACGTACACTACAAGACAACGTACACTACAAGACAACGGACACTACAAGACAACAGACACTACAAGACAGTGGACACTACAAGACAACGGACACTACAAGACAACAGACACTACAAGACAGTGGACACTACAAGACAGCAGACACTACAAGACAGCAGACACTACAAGACAGTGGACACTACAAGACAGTGGACACTACAAGACAACGTACACTACAAGACAATGTACACTACAAGACAGCGTACACTACAAGACAGCAGACACTACAAGACAGCGTACACTACAAGACAGCGTACACTACAAGACAGCGTACACTACAAGACAGCAGACACTACAAGACAACAGACACTACAAGACAACAGACACTACAAGACAGCGTACACTACAAGACAGCGTACACTACAAGACAACGTACACTACAAGACAGCGTATACTACAAGACAGCAGACACTACAAGACAGCGTACACTACAAGACAGCAGACACTACAAGACAGCGTACACTACAAGACAGCGTACACTACAAGACAGCGTACACTACAAGACAGCGGACACTACAAGACAGCGGACACTACAAGACAGCGGACACTACAAGACAGCGTACACTACAAGACAGCGTACACTACAAGACAGCGCACACTACAAGACAGCGTACACTACAAGACAGCGTACACTACAAGACAGCGTACACTACAAGACAACAGACACTACAAGACAACGTACACTACAAGACAACGTACACTACAAGACAACGTACACTACAAGACAACGTACACTACAAGACAGCGTACACTACAAGACAACGTACACTACAAGACAGCAGACACTACAAGACAGCAGACACTACAAGACAGCGTACACTACAAGACAACGTACACTACAAGACAGCAGACACTACAAGACAGCGTACACTACAAGACAACGTACACTACAAGACAACGTACACTACAAGACAGCAGACACTACAAGACAGTGTACACTACAAGACAGCGTACTCTCACAGACTGGCACTGACTGGACCCTCAGCGAATAGTCACACACAGGTCTTGCAAAACCCATGAATCTGCTGTCTCTCGCTAAACTAGAGAAACACTCCTCTCATATTTTAGAACGTGTGGACCTTTGCACTTGCCCCAGCCACCACCATCATCATCACCCAGTGACTTCACCACCAGAGCAGGCAATCATGACTCTGACCTCTGGTACAACTGAACAGCAAAGTGAGTTTAGCACAAAACAGTGAAACATACCTGGATGCGAGGAAACAAATATTTGAGCTGTGCCCCAGATTGGAAGCTGGTGTAGAGTCGGATTCCCCCATAGACTGGGTTTGGGAACCGCTTGTCATCCCGCAGCCAAAGGCCTTCCAGAGCTTCCACAAAATTCAAGCAAGGAAATTCATATTCTACATCTCCATCCACCTCACATGAGGTGCACAGTTCTAGGGCCTCCAACACCTGTTGAGACACAACAACAAAATGAACCCACACAACACCCATTTAGAAACAACAACTGAATGAATCCACCTAACACCTGTTGGGACCCAACAATAAAATGAACCCACACAACACCCGTTTGGAAACAACAATGGAGAACCCACACAACACCTGCTTGCACAAATCAACTGAATGAATCCACATAACACCTGTTGGGACACAATACCTGTTGGGATACAACAATGGAATAAACTCATACAACATTTGTTGAGACAACAATTGAATGAATCCACACAACAACTTACCTCTTTGAGTCCCAAGGAATGCATCACGCGCTAATTTGTTTCTACTTGGCGGCCCAAACAGTGCATGACATGTGACAGTTTTTAATTTACCACTTATCGGTAATTACACGCGAATCGCTCAATTTAAACTTCCTTTCGGGTTCTCAAGTGTGTAGTGAACACACGTGGAGTGCATTCGTTTGGGTCTGGTGAGTTTTTTACACTTTAAATTGATATTTGTGTGGTCTACTACGTTACCAAACAATTTTCTGAAAACAATATGCCTGATCAGTCATCGTCTTCACGCCCATCAAAGCGATTTACTGCTTTAGAATCATCAAATTTGATAAAACAGTGGATCGATTAAAGTAATGTGGAGTTGGATACTGATAGTAGCGACGTGAAATTTCCGCAAACCATTGACGAGTCAAGTTTTGATGAGGATATGTGCATAATTTACCTCCTGCTAAGAGGACAAAAACTGACTAATTCTGCGATGGCAACACAAGAGAAGCACCTCATAACGCGACAACAGCTAGTCCAAATGTCAGCGCTTCTAGTACTACTATCCATATAATCTAAAACCATAGATAAATATCTATGAACAGGTTGACATGTTTACAGTGCCTTTATAGTTTTTTCTATGTGAGGAATTCAATTGTTTTTAGAAATGTCACTGTTTGAGCCACTGGAGAATATATTTTGAAGTGTTATGGTAGTGTTATTAAAATTGCTATGCAACAAAAACTATTGCACATTTTGCTTTAATATTGGCTGTGCATACTTATAAGTGGTGTACCTTCCTTTGTGATGTATTTTGGATATACTATATCAAGAATTTTGGGATCAGCTTCTGGGTAAGTGGAAAAAACTTGTTCATAATTTGCTCACCTCTCAAACTAAGTCATTGTTTTCTCTACTAAATGCTAACTAACAGTATAAATGTTTGTTGTAGCAGTATGCTAATATTAATCCTTATCCATTTATGTTTAATTTTATGTATGATATGTGTATGTTGGACATCAGCTGCAGTTGTGTGGTTTGTTTTAAAGTGCTGCATTTGTTAAGTCAAAATCATATTACACCCCCCCCCCCCCCCCCCCCCATTGGGCCTCTGATGCAAAAGTTAATGAACCAATACAACTGAATGAACCCACACAGTTAAAAACATGGGATAGCCATTTCAGTAACAAGATAACAAACTGCAGTCACTCTAATTACATCAAAACACAAGTATAACATTTTCAATGATACCTGACATCTTAACATCAAAACACAAGTATAACATTTTCAATGATACCTGACATCTTAACATCAAAACATCCTATCAGCTACAGACATCCAAATGTGACGAAGAACGATGATGATAAAGATGAATACAGTTGACTTCAAAACATTACCTGCAGCAAACTAAGTGCATCCATGGCTGGATACATCAATTGAAACTCATCCAGAGAAAAGCATCCGGTTATCCGAGCTTGGATGATCCTGTCATGTGACAGCAAGGCGCCTAGCACATCCACCCCTAACCACTTGGGACTCAGTACAACCAGATCAGTCTGGCCATGCAGGTAGACAATCTGGCGACATGACGGAGCAGTCAAACATGTGACAAACACATCAATGGTCATATAAACTATCTCGGAGCAGTCAACAACAAACATATCGACATATGTGCACTTTTTAGGCCCAACTCATTTTATTTCTGCAAGCCCTTCAGGAGTCACCTACTTGCTTAGGGGCCACTGGGTCAATTCTAAATCTCCACCCCCCACACCCACCTCATAATTGGAGCAAATGAACCCATAAGAGGATCTTGCACAATCATACATAGTATAATATCAGGGTTTCGTAGCATAGCCTCACCTCAAGACAATCATACATAGTATAGTACCTGGGTATTGTAGCCACCTCAAGACAATCATACATAGTATAGTACCTGGGTATTGTTGCATAACCTCACCTCAAGACAATCATACATAGTATAATATCAGGGCATTGTAGCCACCTCAAGACAATCATACATAGTATAATATCAGGGTATTGTTGCATAACCTCACGTCAAGACAATCATACATAGTATAATATCAGGGCATTGTAGCCACCTCAAGACAATCATACATAGTATAATACCTGGGTATTGTAGCATAGCCTCATCTCAAGACAATCATACATAGTATAATATCAGGGTATTGTAGCATAGCCCCATCTCAAGACAATCATAGATAGTATAATATCAGGGTATTGTAGCATAGCCTCATCTCAAGACAATCATACATAGTATAATACCTGGGTATTGTAGCATAGCCTCATCTCAAGACAATCATACATAGTATAATATCAAGGTATTGTAGCATAACCTCATCTCAAGACAATCATACATAGTATAATATCAGGGTATTGTAGCATAACCTCACCTCAAGACAGTCATACATAGTATAATATCAGGGTATTGTAGCCACCTCAAGACAATCATACATAGTATAATACCTGGGTATTGTAGCATAACCTCACCTCAAGACAATCATATATAGTATAATAGCTGGGTATTGTTGCATAACCTCACCCCAAGACAATCATACATAGTATAATAGCTGGGTATTGTTGCATAACCTCACCCCAAGACAATCATACATAGTATAATATCAGGGTATTGTAGCATAACCTCACCTCAAGACAATCATACATAGTATAATAGCTGGGTATTGTTGCATAACCTCACCCCAAGACAATCATACATAGTATAATAGCTGGGTATTGTAGCATAACCTCACCTCAAGACAATCATACATAGTATAATAGCTGGGTATTGTTGCATAACCTCATCTCAAGACAATCATACATAGTATAATATCAGGGTATTGCTGCATAACCTCATCTCAAGACAATCATACATAGTATAATACATGGGTATTGTTGCATAACCTCACCCCAAGACAATCATACATAGTATAATATCAGGGTATTGTAGCATAACCTCACCCCAAGACAATCATACATAGTATAATAGCTGGGTATTGTTGCATAACCTCACCCCAAGACAATCATACATAGTATAATAGCTGGGTATTGTAGCATAACCTCACCCCAAGACAATCATACATAGTATAATACCTGGGTATTGTTGCATAACCTCACCCCAAGACAATCATACATAGTATAATATCAGGGCATTGTAGCCACCTCAAGACAATCATACATAGTATAATACCTGGGTATTGTTGCATAACCTCACCCAAAGACAATCATATATAGTATAATAGCTGGGTATTGTTGCATAACCTCACCCCAAGACAATCATACATAATATAATACCTGGGTATTGTAGCATAGCCTCATCTCAAGACAATCATATATAGTATAATAGCTGGGTATTGTTGCATAATCTCACCCCAAGACAATCATACATAATATAATACCTGGGTATTGTAGCATAGCCTCATCTCAAGACAATCATATATAGTATAATAGCTGGGTATTGTTGCATAACCTCACCCCAAGACAATCATACATAATATAATACCTGGGTATTGTAGCATAGCCTCATCTCAAGACAATCATATATAGTATAATAGCTGGGTATTGTAGCATAACCTCACCTCAAGACAATCATATCTATATATATAAAAATCAATGTTTGTGTGTTTGTTTCACCCCTTTAGACTCGGAAACTACTGAACCGATTTAGCTGAAATTTTCAGGATATGTTTGTTGTGATACCGGATTTTGAACCGTCGTGGTTTGAAATTCAACCTGTCACTGTTAGAGATAGGTGACCACAATTAATGCCAAAATATACGCAACTAATATTTATAACTTTAGTGATTTCTAATTATAGCCACGTTAGTAATTGCGCATGCGCCGTATTTACCATTCGCCGGCGAGTTATACGTGCAGCCAACGCCTTCTCTAATACTAATACATAGAGTAGGTCGTGGTACAGCAAACAAGACTATCTCTATATTTGCCACAATAACGATATTAAACACGATTTCTATTTTCTTTTTTTTTTCAAACAACCTTCGATAGGGGGGGGGGGAGGAGGAGGGGAGGGGGGAGGGGAGGGGGGGGGGGGCAATCGAGGACTATCTCGACGTCGGGGGAGACAGTGAATGCGACATTAACTTCATTAACTGTGTTAGACACGTGCGATTTCTATTTCATTAACATATCTGGAGTATCTGTCTACGAGAAAACAATTGCCTGCGGTTTTGAATTGTGTTTTAATCGCGACACAGTGGTAGGGACACATATGTCTAATAGTTGTGTTCTCTTTTCGTTTTTCCGATTAAGTGGCTGCTTGGTCGAATGGTTAGAACACTGGGTTCAAGTGCGGTAGACCTGGGTTCGAATCCGCAGTAGTTAATTTTTTTTTTTTTACCCCGGACTAAAATAATATCCTCATCTGCTCTGTCGTGGTGACAGCACTAGCCATGTTGCCTTAATATTTAAAAAAAAATAAAACCAGTAAATGGGTAAACCATTTGATAATTAAATTGGACCATTTTGCATACTTATGATTGCATTGTTAAACTTTCCGATTGCATGGTTACGCTGAAATTTTATAGATTTTCATTTATTTTCATTTAGATTTAGTTATTTCATCTGTGTTGGAATTTTAAGCTGTGCTGTTTACAATGGCGTTCATTTCCTAATTATGGTGTTTTTTTCCTGTGTTCATTTGCTTTTCAAAGTGTTTTTTTTTTTTTTTCCCTCCCAACTACTTCAATGTGGGAAAGAGTTTGTCGGTGAATTTGGGGGGGGGGGGGGGGGGGGGGGGGGGGGCAAACTATTAACTGAGAGAGCTTTAAGTCACAGTAACTGCTTTACCCACTTAAAGTAGCAGCAGCAGTAATAGTTTGTGGTTGGGCTGTTACACCAAAGTGCTCTCATGTGAAGACCGCCGGTAAGGTTATGGCGTTCTTCTGTCGGCAAGTGAAATTATACATCCTAACCTGACCAGTCTGTGGCGACAGCACTAGCCATGCGGAACCAAATCTTCTGGCTCACGACTCTGTCTACTCCGATGGTAACACAGATAGCAGTGACATTATTTTAGTAGTTGTACTGGTACTTGAAGGATGATGTGGTAAAAATTTCACTAGCCCTATTCACTACCTTTTACAATTCCTGCTCCTTATTTTAGTCCAGATGGACAGGGATGTCAATGTCAGTTACAGCAACAACAAAATATCGCCAGTTAGTGATTTTCAAATCCTTCGAAAAGGGAGAGAGCAGTAGTCGGTGGAGGAGGGGAGGGGAGGGGGGTAATGACTTAAATTTAAGAGAACTTAAAGAGCTTTACACGTGATTTTCAAGTTCTCATTACCTAATTTGTTTATATTTTACTAACGCTACCTCCGCTTTTCTATTTTTTACGACTTACTTTGTTATTTACAAGTACAGTTGTAGCTTTACTTCCGTCTCCTATAAAAATACAAACAGCTTTAGCATGTGATAACCAAATAACCACTTTTGTAACCAGTTTTATTAGCTGTGGTTTAGCTGTTGCTCTGTACATCGCTAGCGTGAAGGGAAGACACATTTCTATGTTCTCTATTTTCCATGTAGTCAAATTACGCCACAGCAACGCGTGGCCGGGTACAGCTAGTATAGTATAATATCAGGGTATTGTAGCATAACCTCACCCCAAGACAATCATACATAGTATAATACCTGGGTATTGTTGCATAACCTCACCTCAAGACAATCATTCATTCATTCAGTAGCATGTCCCTCGCGGAACCTCGCTGCCATAACAACCCTCCGGAAAACCTTCCTATCCTGAGCAAGATGTCCTGCGTCTGATACACCCATCTGGAGATCATCTGCCACATCCTGCACCCATCTTCTCCTTGGCCTTCCTCTTCCTCTCTTCCCAGGCATATACCCCTCCATTATTGTTCTCTCTAGACTTCCATGACGCTTCAAGTGTTAACAAAGACAATCATACATAGTATAATACCTGGGTATTGTTGCATAACCTCACCTCAAGACAATCATACATAGAATAATATCAGGGTATTGCAGCATAACCTCAAGACAATCATACATAGTATAATACCTGGGTATTGTAGCAAAACCTCACCTCAAGACAATCATACATAGTATAATATCAGGGTATTGTAGCATAACCTCACCCCAAGACAATCATACATAGAATAATATCAGGGTATTGTAGCCACCTCAAGACAATCATACATAGTATAATACCTGGGTATTGTAGCCTAGCCTCATCTCAAGACAATCATACATAGTATAATACCTGGGTATTGTAGCCTAGCCTCATCTCAAGACAATCATACATGGTAAAGTACCTGGATATTGTAGCATAAACTCATCTCAAGACAATCATACATGGTAAAGTACCTGGGTATTGTAGCATAAACTCATCTCAAGACAATCATACATGGTATAGTACCTAGGTATTGTAGCCTAGCCTCATTTCAAGACAATCATACATGGTATAGTACCTGGGTATTGTAGCACAAACTCATCAGTCTTCTTCGTACTCACAGACACTCGCTAGATGAGTCTTTATCTGACCTGACATCACAGCACTCAGAACATTCCCAAAAGTGCTTCATCCTCATCTTCAGCAGCCAGTGAAATGTCCATTTTGATTTTCCTCTGAGTCTAGAATGTCGACTAGATCCCTTGGTCACTCCTAGCAACACCATCCTCTCCAGACCATAATAATCTAGTTGAGCTTCTGCACTGTTCACTTGTTAACAAAGGGTTGTGATCATGTCTGCACTGTTCACTTGTTAACAAAGGGTTCTGATCATGTCTGCACTGTTCACTTGTTAACAAAGGGTTCTGATCACGTCTGCACTGTTGACTTGTTAACAAAGAGTTCTGATCATGTCTGCACTGTTTACTTGTTAACAAAGGGTTCTGATCATGTCTGCACTGTTTACTTGTTAACAAAGGGTTCTGATCATGTCTGCTTAACAACTGTTGTGTTGATAAAACACTTAACAACTGTTGTGTTGATAACACACTTAACAACTGTTGTGTTGATAACACACTTAACAACTGTTGTGTTGATAACACACTTAACAGCTGTTGTGTTGATAACACACTTAACAACTGTTGTGTTGATAACACACTTAACAACTGTTGTGTTGATAACACACTTAACAGCTGTTGTGTTGATAACACACTTAACAGCTGTTGTGTTGATAACACACTTAACAACTGTTGGTTATAAGCATTATGTGACAGTTGTGTGTGTGTGTGTGTATGTATGTGTGTGTGTCTGGTGACAGAAATATGTGTATGTGCAAGCATACGAGTGTCTGCTTTGTGTGCTAGAAACACTGGGTCCTGCATACAGGACAATGCTGACCCTGTGACAATAAGAGCCTGACGCCAGGGAGATGGTGACGCTTCAAATCTTCCCACTGGTGTGTGAAGGCAGCACAAGCCTTCCAAACAGTTCACACACGATGAGTATTTCCATGACAAATGTAAGCAAAACCTAGTGTTCCATATGACTGTTTGATGTCCAGATGAAGTCCACTACATGAGTGGCCTCTATTGTACATGAGTGGCCTCTATTGTACATGAGTGGCCTCTATTGTACATGAGTGGCCTCTATTGTACATGAGTGGCCTCTATTGTACATGAGTGGCCTCTATTGTACATGAGTGGCCTCTATTGTACATGAGTGGCCTCTATTGTACATGAGTGGCCTCTATTGTACATGAGTGGCCTCTATTGTACATGAGTGGCCTCTATTGTACATGAGTGGCCTCTATTGTACATGAGTGGCCTCTATTGTACATGAGTGGCCTCTATTGTACATGAGTGGCCTCTATTGTACATGAGTGGCCTCTATTGTACATGAGTGGCCTCTATTGTACATGAGTGGCCTCTATTGTACATGAGTGGCCTCTATTGTACATGAGTGGCCTCTATTGTACATGAGTGGCCTCTATTGTACGTGAGTGGCCTCTATTGTACATGAGTGGCCTCTATTGTACGTGAGTGGCCTCTATTGTACGTGAGTGGCCTCTATTGTACATGAGTGGCCTCTATTGTACATGAGTGGCCTCTATTGTACATGAGTGGCCTCTATTGTACATGAGTGGCCTCTATTGTACATGAGTGGCCTCTATTGTACATGAGTGGCCTCTATTGTACATGAGTGGCCTCTATTGTACATGAGTGGCCTCTATTGTACATGAGTGGCCTCTATTGTACATGAGTGGCCTCTATTGTACATGAGTGGCCTCTATTGTACATGAGTGGCCTCTATTGTACATGAGTGGCCTCTATTGTACATGAGTGGCCTCTATTGTACATGAGTGGCCTCTATTGTACATGAGTGGCCTCTATTGTACATGAGTGGCCTCTATTGTACATGAGTGGCCTCTATTGTACATGAGTGGCCTCTATTGTACGTGAGTGGCCTCTATTGTACGTGAGTGGACTCTATTGTACGTGAGTGGCCTCTATTGTACGTGAGTGGCCTCTATTGTACGTAAGTGGCCTCTATTGTACGTGAGTGGCCTCTATTGTACGTGAGTGGCCTCTATTGTACGTGAGTGGCCTCTATTGTACATGAGTGGCCTCTATTGTACATGAGTGGCCTCTATTGTACATGAGTGGCCTCTATTGTACATGAGTGGCCTCTATTGTACATGAGTGGCCTCTATTGTACATGAGTGGCCTCTATTGTACATGAGTGGCCTCTATTGTACATGAGTGGCCTCTATTGTACATGAGTGGCCTCTATTGTACATGAGTGGCCTCTATTGTACATGAGTGGCCTCTATTGTACATGAGTGGCCTCTATTGTACATGAGTGGCCTCTATTGTACATGAGTGGCCTCTATTGTACATGAGTGGCCTCTATTGTACATGAGTGGCCTCTATTGTACATGAGTGGCCTCTATTGTACATGAGTGGCCTCTATTGTACATGAGTGGCCTCTATTGTACATGAGTGGCCTCTATTGTACATGAGTGGCCTCTATTGTACATGAGTGGCCTCTATTGTACATGAGTGGCCTCTATTGTACATGAGTGGCCTCTATTGTACATGAGTGGCCTCTATTGTACATGAGTGGCCTCTATTGTACATGAGTGGCCTCTATTGTACGTGAGTGGCCTCTATTGTACATGACTGGCCTCTATTGTACATGAGTGGCCTCTATTGTACATGAGTGGCCTCTATTGTACAGGATAGTTGTCAACTGCCAAATGACTGAGTGACCATGGGCTATTGTGGTCATTGTGAGGATTTATATCACCTGATGGGGCAGCTCTATCTCTGTGTGCGTGTATGTGTGCTTGCATGTGTCTGTGTGTGTTGGACCTTGACCTTGTCTTGTCATGACTTCTCTAGACAAGCCTGAGCTCACACATACCTCTCCCATCAGCTGCAGCTGCCGATCCAACAACTTGATGTCGTCATCGCTGGCCAGTGGGTTGACACAGCCTCGAACCTGCTCCATGAACTGTGGCCAGCTCAGAACAGGGTAGGCATGTAAGGCTCGCCGCCACTCTGGCATCTGGGCGACTACGGCTGACAGTAAACCATTTGTTCTTGGAAGTTTCTGAGAAAAACAAAATAATATACGCTTGACTTCAGAACACGTCTTTCCTCAACCTAATTTATTTGTCTATGTATTTTAAAGCATAGAGGAAATATGCTCCTGGACTGTAACCTGTATCTAGGTCGACCCAGAACAAAGCTATTTTATTTCCCTGGACTGTAGTTGATATGAAACACTTGGACTCTTGCCCAGAGATAAGGTGTCAAGCATATAGATGAGACTGAGCAGGTAGACTTAATGGCACCAGTGAAGTGGAAAGTACAGACCACCTAACCTACTGACTGACTGACTTTCTACTCCCCCAGGACATCACACAAGCGATAAACACCCGATGACACAAAGTGCCACCATGCGGATGAGGATCGCCGTGGAGAGGTCCTAGAAACCGCGTTCAGACATTAGGCCATATTTATGGCCTGCCTATATTGCGGCCCCTGGCAAAAGCCAGGGTGGAGCTTCAAATAAAAAATTTCATCCTGAAAAGGACAATAGAGAATAAATGCTGACCACCTAACCTTAAGTGTTATCTAATTATCCTCAAGCCAGACTCAAGGGCAGGTAACTGGTCATAAAATTAATTATAACCCCCTGGGATTATCTTTCTTAAACTGCAAGCCAGGGCTCGGGTTGACACCTTTCAGAATGAGGTGTTAGCAGACAATCTCAGACCTGGGTCAGAGAAATTGTCAGAATGAAGTATTAGCAGACAATTTCAGACCTGGGTCGGAGCAATTGTCAGAATGAAGTGTTAGCAGACAATCTCAGACAAGGGTCGGAGCAATTGTCAGAATGAAGTGTTAGCAGACAATCTCAGACCTGGGTCAGAGCAATTGTCAGAATGAAGTGTTAGCAGACAATCTCAGACCTGGGTCGGAGCAATTGTCAGAATGAAGTGTTAGCCGACAATCTCAGACCTGGGTCAGAGCAATTGTCAGAATGAGGTGTTAGCAGACAATCTCAGACCTGGGTCAGAGCAATTGTCAGAATGAGGTGTTAGCAGACAATCTCAGACTGGGTCAGAGCAATTGTCAGAATGAGGTGTTAGCAGACAATCTCAGACCAGGGTCGGAGCAATTGTCAGAATGAAGATGGAAACAAAGGTGTGAATGCGTTCATGGGCACTGGCCAGAGTGATGGACCCTAAGAATGTAACCATGGGAATGCAAACAAGTGTTGTGCTGTCCTGACTGACAGTCAAAGGACTTACCCACAGGGAGGAGCTTTGACATCCCATGAATGAGAGAGGTTTAGGGGGAGAAATAGGATAAGCTTAGCAGAGATTATAAAAGGGTGGACTCTAGGGCTGACAAGTGAGACCATCTGTGTAACGGCCTGCTTGAAGCAGTAATGTCGACAAACTGGACAAGAGGTAGAGTCTCATCCTGACAGTTGTACCAGGATTACAAGTTATCTTCAAATCAATTATTATCATCGTGAAACCATCCTCACTCTACTAGCATATGCACCTATTGAACTCACTGACTGACTCACTACTATCACTGAGCTATTATCTTTTTAATATTGCAAGATCAATATCATTCAATTTATTTTGTTTAGAATATTAATAAAATCTTGTTCATGGTGTTATAAAAAAGTTAAGTAAATTGTGTACTTATTTTCAGTGCCTTTGCACATACTAATTTACTTCAGCTCACTTTTATGTTAATCACGTGATGGAAGCTTTTGAGGAGAAAGACGATAAAAGTAAAAAATAACAATAATAATTATTAAACAATGTGGGTTCATATATATGTACATATATTTACTGTCCAGCTGTGCCACTGTATGTCCAGCTGTGCCACTGTATGTCCAGCTGTGCCTCTGTATGTCCAGCTGTGCCACTGTATGTCCAGCTGTGCCACTGTATGTCCGGCTGTGCCTCTGTATGTCCGGCTGTGCCACTGTATGTCCAGCTGTGCCACTGTATGTCCGGCTGTGCCACTGTATGTCCGGCTGTGCCACTGTATGTCCGGCTGTGCCACTGTATGTCAGGCTGTGCCCCTGTATCTCAGGCTGTGCCACTGTATGTCCGGCTGTGCCACTGTATCTCAGGCTGTGCCACTGTATGTCAGGCTGTGCCACTGTATGTCCAGTTGTGCCACTGTATGTCCGGCTGTGCCACTGTATGTCCAGCTGTGCCCCTGTATGTCCAGCTGTGCCCCTGTATGTCCAGCTGTGCCACTGTATGTCCAGCTGTGCCACTGTATGTCCAGCTGTGCCACTGTATGTCCAGCTGTGCCACTGTATGTCCAGCTGTGCCCCTGTATGTCCGGCTGTGCCCCTGTATGTCCAGCTGTGCCCCTGTATGTCCGGCTGTGCCCCTGTATGTCCAGCTGTGCCACTGTATCTCAGGCTGTGCCACTGTATCTCAGGCTGTGCCACTGTATCTCAGGCTGTGCCACTGTATGTCAGGCTGTGCCACTGTATGTCCGGCTGTGCCACTGTATGTCCGGCTGTGCCACTGTATGTCCAGCTGTGCCCCTGTATGTCCAGCTGTGCCACTGTATGTCCAGCTGTGCCACTGTATCTCAGGCTGTGCCACTGTATGTCAGGCTGTGCCACTGTATGTCCAGCTGTGCCACTGTATGTCCAGCTGTGCCACTGTATGTCCGGCTGTGCCCCTGTATGTCCAGCTGTGCCAATGTATGTCCAGCTGTGCCACTGTATCTCAGGCTGTGCCACTGTATGTCCGGCTGTGCCACTGTATGTCCAGCTGTGCCACTGTATGTCCAGCTGTGCCACTGTATGTCCAGCTGTACCACTGTTTTTTCCAGCTGTGCCACTGTATGTCCAGGTGTGCCACTGTATGTCCGGCTGTGCCACTGGATATCCAGCTGTGCCACTGTATGTCCGGCTGTGCCACTGTATGTCCAGCTGTGCCACTGTATGTCCAGCTGTGCCACTGTGTGTCCAGCTGTACCACTGTTTTTCCAGCTGTGCCACTGTACGTCCGGCTGTGCCACTGTATGTCCGGCTGTGCCACTGTATGTCCGGCTGTGCCCCTGTATGTCCAGCTCTGCCCCTGTATGTCCGGCTGTGCCACTGTATGTCCGGCTGTGCCACTGTATGTCCGGCTGTGCCACTGTATGTCCGGCTGTGCCACTGTATGTCCAGCTGTGCCAGTGTATGTCCGGCTGTGCCAGTGTATGTCTGGCTGTGCCACTGTATGTCTGGCTGTGCCCCTGTATGTCCAGCTGTGCCACTGTATGTCAGGCTGTCCCACTGTATGTCCGGCTGTGCCACTGTATGTCCAGCTGTGCCACTGTATGTCTGGCTGTGCCACTGTATGTCCAGCTGTGCCACTGTATGTCCGGCTGTGCCACTGTATGTCCAGCTGTGCCACTGTATGTCCGGCTGTGCCACTGGATGTCCAGCTGTGCTCCTGTATGTCCAGCTGTGCCACTGTATGTCCAGGTGTGCCACTGTATGTCCGGCTGTGCCACTGGATGTCCAGCTGTGCCACTGTATGTCCAGCTGTGCCACTGTATGTCCGGCTGTGCCACTGTTTGTCCAGCTGTGCCACTGTATGTCCTAAAGGACATGCATTCTTTTGCTCTATTCTGATGTATCTTGTGCAATCAGCTCAACTTGAGGCTTCTCTAATCAACATCAGCTTGTGGGCTTCTCACATCAACATCAGCTTGTGGGTTCTCTAATCAACATCAGCTTGTGGGTTCTCTAATCAACATCAGCTTGTGGGTTCTCTTATCAACATCAGCTTGTGGGTTCTCTCATCAACATCAACTTGTGGGTTCTCTAATCAACATCAGCTTGAGAGTTTCTCTCATCAACATCAGCTTGTGGCTTCTCTCATCAACATCAGCTTGTGGGTTCTCTAATCAACATCAGCTTGAGAGTTTCTCTCATCAACATCAGCTTGTGGGTTTCTCTCATCAACATCAGCTTGTGGGTTTCTCTCATCAACATCAGCTTGTGAGTTTCTCTCATCAACATCAGCTTGTGGGTTTCTCTCATCAACATCAGCTTGTGGGTTTCTCTCATCAACAACAGCTTGTGGGTTTCTCTCATCAACATCAGCTTGTGGGTTTCTCTCATCAACATCAGCTTGTGGGTTCTCACATTAACATCAGCTTGTGGGTTCTCACATCAACATCAGCTTGTGGCTTCTCACATCAACATCAGCTTGTGGGTTTCTCTCATCAACATCAGCTTGTGGGTTTCTCTCATCAACATCAGCTTGTGGGTTTCTCTCATCAACATCAGCTTGTTTCTCTCATCAACATCAGCTTGTGGTTTCTCTCATCAACATCAGCTTGTGGTTTCTCTCATCAACATCAGCTTGTAGGTTCTCTCATCAACATCAGCTTGTAGGTTCTCTCATCAACATCAGCTTGTAGGTTCTCTCATCAACATCAGCTTGTAGGTTCTCTCATCAACATCAGCTTGTAGGTTCTCTCATCAACATCAGCTTGTGGGTTTCTCTTGAATGTCCTTGTGTTTTCTCAATCCCTCTGTTTCCCATTGTAAAGCCTGTTTGTTAATTCTCTGCTAATTTCTTCTCAAGATGTGTCTAATATAGCATATTTGTGTGAGTGTGTATGTGTGTGTGCACACACTGAGAGAGAGAGAGAGAGAGAGAGAGAGAGAGAGAGAGAGAGAGAGAGAGAGAGAGAGAGAGAGAGAGAGAGAGAGTCATACAGAGAAAAAGAAAGAAAAAAAAGAGACAAAGGAACCAACAGAGTGATCAAGAAGAGACAGCTGAGAGATATTTAAGGGTAACAGAGGGACAGAAAAAGAAATAGAGAAACAGACTGACACACTGACATACTAACACACTGATATACTGACACACTGACATACTAATACACTGACATACCTCAGAGATGTCGAGTTTGATCTTGGCCAGTTGTTGTTTGAAAGCTCGCATGTCAGGTGAGGAAGGTAACTGTGCATCCATGAGGAAAATTGTGGGGCAAATGTCAAGGTCATACTGGAAAATGCTGAGAGCTCTGTCGAGGATATAGGAGGTGTCCTTGTTTGTGTGGACCCCACTGGACGTTTTTTGGCATAGAGTCGAAGACTTGTCAGCGTGGGTTGCCACCAACACCACCTGAGCGGTATTCTGCAGCTTCCCACAGTAACCTGTTTGGCAGAATCATTTCTTAATTTTTAAAAGAACACTGAATGTGTGTTACCAGACCTCAACAACAAAGAAAGAAATTGTAGGTGTGTTACCAGACCTCCACATCAAAGAAAGAAATTGTAGGTGTGTTACCAGACCTCAACAACAAAGAAAGAAATTGTAGGTGTGTTACCAGACCTCAACAACAAAGAAAGAAATTGTAGGTGTGTTACCAGACCTCAACAACAAAGAAAGAAATTGTAGGTGTGTTACCAGACCTCAACAACAAAGAAAGAAATTGTAGGTGTGTTACCAGACCTCAACAACAAAGAAAGAAATTGTAGGTGTGTTACCAGACCTCAACAACAAAGAAAGAAATTGTAGGTGTGTTACCAGACCTCCACAACAAAGAAAGAAATTGTAGGTGTGTTACCAGACCTCAACAACAAAGAAAGAAATTGTAGGTGTGTTACCAGACCTCAACAACAAAGAAAGAAATTGTAGGTGTGTTACCAGACCTCAACAACAAAGAAAGAAATTGTAGGTGTGTTACCAGACCTCAACAACAAAGAAAGAAATTGTAGGTGTGTTACCAGACCTCAACAACAAAGAAAGAAATTGTAGGTGTGTTACCAGACCTCAACAACAAAGAAAGAAATTGTAGGTGTGTTACCAGACCTCAACATCAAAGAAAGAAATTGTAGGGGTGTTACCAGACCTCAACAACAAAGAAAGAAATTGTAGGTGTGTTACCACACCTCAACAACAAAGAAAGAAATTGTAGGTGTGTTACCAGACCTCAACATCAAAGAAAGAAATTGTAGGTGTGTTACCAGACCTCAACAACAAAGAAAGAAATTGTAGGTGTGTTACCAGACCTCAACAACAAAGAAAGAAATTGTAGGTGTGTTACCAGACCTCCACATCAAAGAAAGAAATTGTAGGTGTGTTACCAGACTCCACATCAAAGAAAGAAATTGTAGGTGTGTTACCACACCTCAACAACAAAAAAAGAAATTGTAGGTGTGTTACCAGACCTCCACATCAAAGAAAGAAATTGTAGGTGTGTTACCAGACCTCAACAACAAAGAAAGAAATTGTAGGTGTGTTACCAGACCTCAACATCAAAGAAAGAAATTGTAGGTGTGTTACCAGACCTCAACAACAAAGAAAGAAATTGTAGGGGTGTTACCAGACCTCAACAACAAAGAAAGAAATTGTAGGTGTGTTACCAGACCTCCACATCAAAGAAAGGACATTTCAGGAGTGTTACCAGACATCAAAGGAAGACATGGCAGGTGTGTTACCAGACCTCCACATCAAAGAAAGAAATTGTAGGTGTGTTACCAGACCTCAACAACAAAGAAAGAAATTGTAGGTGTGTTACCAGACCTCAACAACAAAGAAAGAAATTGTAGGTGTGTTACCAGACCTCAACAACAAAGAAAGAAATTGTAGGGGTGTTACCAGACCTCAACAACAAAGAAAGAAATTGTAGGGGTGTTACCAGACCTCAACAACAAAGAAAGAAATTGTAGGTGTGTTACCAGACCTCAACAACAAAGAAAGAAATTGTAGGTGTGTTACCAGACCTCAACAACAAAGAAAGAAATTGTAGGTGTGTTACCAGACCTCAACAACAAAGAAAGAAATTGTAGGTGTGTTACCAGACCTCCACAACAAAGAAAGAAATTGTAGGTGTGTTACCAGACCTCAACAACAAAGAAAGAAATTGTAGGTGTGTTACCAGACCTCAACAACAAAGAAAGAAATTGTAGGTGTGTTACCAGACCTCAACAACAAAGAAAGAAATTGTAGGGGTGTTACCAGACCTCAACATCAAAGAAAGGACATTTCAGGAGTGTTACCAGACATCAAAGGAAGACATGGCAGGTGTGTTACCTGGGCCCAGTAGAGAAACAAACAAAAGAACATGTTCTAAAAGGCACCCAAGGAGGGTGACCCTATCCCGTAGACAAGGCGACATTACCCCATAGACAAGGTGAGCTTACCGTATAGGCAAAATGATTTACACTGTAGGCAACTTTGCCCATTATACAGAAGTCTATAAATATATCAAGAAAAGACATAAACCCAAACGAAAAGTATATTAGCAAGCTTCACAATATAACAAATACAAACAAAACGTGAACGTTGCGGCTAATGAGACTTCATCAGCACACACAAAATAAACAATACTACATAGACACAAAAAATCACTTAGCTGGTATCTCGATGCGGCCAGGTCGGTTGTTACTCAGCAGACTGACCGCATGTGTCAGCTGGAGGAATAAATACCCACTGTGGAGTATCCGGGGCCATAACTGGGGTGTAGGGGTTGAAACTGTGAGGGCAGTTCAATCCCCTGGAAGTTTAAATGAAACTGTGTTGGCAATTCATTCCGGAGGGCGTCAAAGTCCCCAGAGTATAAATAAAGCGATTCTCAAGAGACTTGAGGACTCTGTCGCTGGAATGGCTAGATTTAATGGCTGTCACGTCCATGTCGTGGACACCTTAGTGATCCTGGCAATTGAAGAGCACTGGTACTGGTTTCCGGGCACCATTTTGTACATCCAAAAGATGTCTGAACCTGTCAGCCAGCCGTAGACCTGTTTCACCAATGTATTTCATGCCACATCTCTTGCAGTTGAAATGGGGCTCAGACGCGGGGCGTATAACCTACTCTTGACTAGAAGGTCCTTGAGGTTACGATCATGCCTGTAGGCTACTAGAGGAAGTTCAGAGAAAATCGTGCTGGTGGTAGGGTCGGCTTAAAGGATGGAGAGATGCCTAAGGAAAATATTCTTGGCACGGATGTTATGAGGGTGGTAGGTAAGTGTGAGAATAGGTCTGTTGTTGTGACGTTTCGGCTTGGAAGCGAGAGCTTCACTTGGCATCTGTTAGGAGAGGCCCGAAAACATAGCCAATGTGCAGTTTGAAGCACAGTGCATGGCCAGTCTTCACATCTAAGAAGTAAGAGAAGAAGGATAGAATGACAGCATCAAGAAAAGGCTTACAGAAAAAAAAAGACCGACTTCATTAGGTCCAAATCCACACATGTGGCATATGCGACACTTGTATAATCCACACATGTGACACTGGTATAATTCTCAAATGTGGTTATGTGACACTGGTGTAATTCACACATGTGGTGTAAGAGGAACTGGCATAATTCACACATGTAGTGTAAGAGACACTAGTATAAATCACACGTGACATTGGTATAGTTCACACATGTGATGTATGTGACACTGGTATAATACGTACATGTGACACTGGTATTATTCACACATGTAGTGTAAGAGACACCGGTATAATTTACACATGTGACACTGGTATAATTCAAGTATTGGCATTTGTGACATTATTACACAAAAAAAACAAAAAAAACATCTAATACACACAGTTGGCAAACATATCTAACAACATTAGAGAAGAGACAAAGCTGGTGGACATACCTAACAACATTAGAGAAGAGACAAAGCTGGTGGACATACCTAACAACATTAGAGAAGAGACAAAGCTGGTGGACATACCTAACAACATTAGAGAAGAGACAAAGCTGGTGGACATACCTAACAACATTAGAGAAGACACAAAGCTGGTGGACATACCTAACAACATTAGAGAAGACACAAAGCTGGTGGACATACCTAACAACATTAGAGAAGAGACAAAGCTGGTGGACATACCTAACAACATTAGAGAAGAGACAAAGCTGGTGGACATACCTAACAACATTAGAGAAGAGACAAAGCTGGTGGACATACCTAACAACATTAGAGAAGACACAAAGCTGGTGGACATACCTAACAACATTAGAGAAGAGACAAAGCTGGTGGACATACCTAACAACATTAGAGAAGAGACAAAGCTGGTGGACAGACCTAACAACATTACAGAAGACACAAAGCTGGTGGACATACCTAACAACATTAGAGAAGACACAAAGCTGGTGGACATACCTATGGGCATCCGTGGGTGGATCCTGGCCTTGAGGAAGTTTAACCAGAAGATCACCTGTGCTATCTGCTCATCCAAGGAGTCCTCCAGGTTAAACATGACCACGTGGATACAGTTGATGTCCCCCAGGAAGTGGTCATAAAACATGTAATATGGCTCGTAGCCGGAGAAGTCCCAAATACTGAATTCTCCAGCTACTGAAGGAGGAAAAATTACATTCTCAGGCATGAAATTAGCAATGAAATACATTTACAGGTACACAAAGAAAAAGTCAAAAAAAAAAAAAAAATGTTTAGGTGAACAACACTGTCTCAGGAGTCCTATTCTTATTCTTCAGGTCTGTAGCTACAAGGAGTCACACTGACAAAAATGTCTCTCTTCTCCTCTCTGTTATCTTTTTTGTGTGTATTTGATCTTCTGCTCCAAATGATTCAACAGTTTTTGCATGCCTGCTGATTTTGGGTCAGCTTAAAAAATATTTACATGATTCTCATTTTAACAGAGCAGCAAATATGAGTCTGGATCACATGAAGGTAAAGCAGTGTCATACAGGTAAACCAACAACACACAAGTGAACCAACAACACACAAGTGAACCCTCAACACACAAGTAAACCAACAACACACAAGTAAACCCTCAACACACAAGTAAACCAACAACACACAGGTAAACCCTCAACACACAAGTAAACCAACAACACACAAGTAAACCCTCAACACACAAGTAAACCAACATCACACAAGTAAACCAACAACACACAAGTAAACCAACATCACACAAGTAAACCAACAACACACAAGTAAACCAACATCACACAAGTAAACCAACAACACACAAGTAAACCCTCAACACACAAGTAAACCAACAACACAAGTGAACCCTCAACACACAAGTGAACCCTCAACACACAAGTAAACCAACAACACAAGAGAACGCTCAACACACAAGTAAACCAACAACACACAAGTGAACCCTCAACACACAAGTAAACCAACAACACAAGTAAACCCTCAACACACAAGTAAACCCTCAACACACAAGTAAACCCTCAACACACAAGTAAACCAACAACACACAAGTAAACCAACAACACACAAGTAAACCCTCAACACACAATTAAACCCTCAACACACAAGTAAACCCTCAACACACAAGTAAACCAACAACACACAAGTAAACCAACAACACACAAGTAAACCAACAACACACAAGTAAACCAACAACACACAAGTAAACCCTCAACACACAAGTAAACCCTCAACACACAAGTAAACCAACAACACACAAGTAAACCAACAACACACAAGTAAACCCTCAACACACAAGTAAACCAACAACACACAAGTGAACCCTCAACACACAAGTAAACCGACAACACACAAGTAAACCAACATCACACAAATAAACCAACAACACACAAGTGAACCCTCAACACACAAATAAACCAACAACACACAAGTAAACCAACATCACACAAGTAAACCAACATCACACAAGTAAACCAACAACACACAAGTAAACCAACAGCACACAAGTAAACCAACAACACACAAGTAAACCCTCAACACACAAGTAAACCAACAACACACAAGTAAACCAACAACACACAAGTAAACCAACAACACACAAGTAAACCAACATCACACAAGTAAACCAACAAAATACACGTAAACCAAAATCACACAAGAAAACCAACAACACACAAGTAAACCAACAACACACAAGTAAACCAACAACACACAAGTAAACCAACATCACACAAGTAAACCAACAACACACAAGTAAACCAACAACACACAAGTAAACCAACAACACACAAGTAAACCAACAACACACAAGTAAACCAACAACACACAGTTAAACCAACAACATACAGGTAAACCAACAACACACAGGTAAACCAACAACAAATAGGTCACACACAGATAAACAACAAAAATACCACACACAGGTGTATCTGACCTGCAATATGAACTGTCTGCACATCAATGCCTTTGGTGTAGGTTGGGTTTCCAACTGTATAATTGAGTGGTGTCGGGAGACTAAACTGTCGGGATAGTTTACCGGGATCTGCAGCAGTCAAACAAAAGTTTAAACACAATAGGACTGGTCACTGTTGAAGCTGTAATGTAATAGTGCGGATGTTGAAGCTGTAATGTAATAGTGTGGATGTTGAAGCTGTAATGTAATAGTGTGAATGTTGAAGCTGTAATGTAATAGTGCGGATGTTGAAGCTGTAATGTAATAGTGCGGATGTTGAAGCTGTAATGTAATAGTGTGGATGTTGAAGCTGTAATGTAATAGTGTGGATGTTAAAGCTGTAATGTAATAGTGCGGATGTTGAAGCTGTAATGTAATAGTGTGGATGTTGAAGCTGTAATGTAATAGTGCGGATGTTGAAGCTGTAATGTAATAGTGAGGATGTAATGTAACAAGTTGATAGTGCAGATGTAATGTAGCAAGTTGATAGAGCTGATGGAATGTAACAAGTTGATAGTGGGGATGTAATGTAGCAAGTTAATAGTGGGGATGTAATGTAACAAGTTAATAGTGCGGATGTAATGTAACGATAGTGCGGATGTAATGTAACAAGTTGATAGTGGGGATGTAATGTAACAAGTTGATAGTGTGGATGTAATGTAACAAGTTGACAGTGTGGATGTAATGTAACAAGTTAATGTAGCAAGATGATAGTGTGGATGTAATGTAGCAAGTTGATAGTGTGGATGTAATGTAGCAAGTTGATAGTGTGGATGTAATGTAGCAAGTTGATAGTGTGGATGTAATGTAGCAAGTTGATAGTGTGGATGTAATGTAGCAAGTTGATAGTGTGGATGTAATGCAGCAAGTTGATAGTGTGGATGTAATGTAACAAGTTGATAGTGTGGATGTAATGTAGCAAGTTGATAGTGTGGATGTAATGTAGCAAGTTAATAGTGTGGATGTAATGTAGCAAGTTGATAGTGTGGATGTAATGTAACAAGTTAATAGTGTGGATGTAATGTAACAAGTTGATAGTGCAGATGTAATGTAACAAGTTAATAGTGCAGATGTAATGTAACAAGTTGATAGTGGGGATGTAATGTAGCAAGTTGATAGTGTGGATGTAATGTAGCAAGTTGACAGTGCGGATGTAATGTAACAAGTTGAGGTTAACAGTTAAAGTCGAGAGGATCAACTTCATTGCACTGGGTTTTATCCCATATGGCTCAGTCTCTCTATGCAGAACGGCAAACTATGTCTGCCGAGAGCGTCGCACAGAGCATTTTCTCCGTTGCTCCAGCAAAGATCCCCAGGGATCTCCGTAGATATTGCACTCAGGAACTGTAGGGCACAGCCGTGGAATGAACCCATGACCATCAGAGCGCAGGGGCAAACAGCTTAACCACTTCACCATGGAGGACCAGACAGAGACCCAGTAATGTAGCAGTGCAAATGTAATGTAGCAGAATTGAGTGAGAAATCACAGATGAGTGGGAGACCAAAACAAACAGAAATGCATGAGATTTCACAGCACATCACAAACCCGTGAGATTTGTCAACATATTAACTGATGAATGAGACTTTAGACACATCCAAATAAAATATGACTATGATATTACAGCACAAGAGAGGTCAGAGAAAATAAAAGAATGAGGTAATCACAACTAATAAGAGACAGACAACAGACTGTATCAGAGGGAGCAAGATAACATGAGGTCATAAGAAAGTAACACCCTGATTTAAATATAAGCAAACCTACTCTTATGTTTGGAAGAAGTGGCTCCAGGAGGATGAAGTTTTCTCCGAAAGAAGCTGCCCAGAAAGCCTGTCTTGAGAGCCTCTACAAGCATAGACTTGCCAACTCCAGTAGAACCCAGCAGCTTCAACTTGACTCTGCTGATTGGCTGAGGTAATGGTTTGAGCTGACCAATCAATGCCAGTCGTTTCTCCTGACAAGGAAACATAGAATTATGTCAGGGGTTGGTTTAGTCACTCTGTCACAGGTTTATTCACTAAGTCACAGGTTTACAGTCACTCAGTCACAGGTCAACAGTCACTCTGTCACAGGTTTAGTCACTCAGTCACAGGTTAACAGTCACTCAGTCACAGGTTTACACTCACTCAGTCATAGGTTTACAGTCACTCTGTCACAGGTTAACAGTCGCTCAGTCATAGATTTACAGTCACTCTGTCACAGGTTTACAGTCACTCAGTCACAGGTTTACAGTCACTCAGTTATAGGTTTACAGTCACTCTGTCACAGGTTTACAGTCGCTCTGTCATAGGTTTAAAAGCACTAAGCTATAGGTTTACAGTCACTCAATTACAGGGTTTAAGTCATTCAGCTAACAGCTTGTCACAGATTTAGTCACTCAAATATAATTATGTCTCAGGTTTACAGTCACACAATCACAGATTTACAATTGTCAATTAAGATCATATACTGGCTGAAGACCTGCAATAACATGTGGAGATAACAGATAAAACCATATTATGAAAGACAGAAGTATCAGCAATTTTGTTGTTGTTGTTGTTGATGAATACTAATAATGTAATTAAAAATACTGAATGATCTCATGAAAGATGCTTCAGCAATGTGCAGAAGAATTAAAATATTTCATACATTGTCAGGGAGTCGCTAGTTTACTAGAGAGTGTGAGTGGTTGTTTGAAGGACATAGATAAGTTAAAGCTGTGCGAACTGGCATACTAAGGAAGTGGTTGTTTGATGGACAGATATGAGTTAAAGCTGTGCAAACTGGCATACTCATAGTGGTTGTTTGAAGGACAGCAATGAGTTAAAGATGTGGAAACTATCATACTTATTGTGGCTGTCTGATGGACATAGATGGGTTAAAGTTGTGGACACTGTAATACTCAGGGAGTGATAGCTTGCCAGCTTGGCAAAAGCCTAGTATATGTCAAGGCAACTGACAACTCACTAAAATCTGGCATGGGAGTAACTGGTCAAGGCTACACCTGGCAACACGATGTCAGGCAACTGTGGGCTACACCTGGCAACATGATGTCAGGCAACCGTGGTCTGTAAAACTTTTTTCTCTGTCATCACTCTGTTACCTGTCTGTTGATGTCAGGCAACCGTGGTCTGTACAACTTCATGCTCTGTCATCACTCTGTTACCTGTCTGTTGATGTCAGGCCACTGTGGTCTGTAAAACTTCTTGCTCTGTCATCACTCTGTTACCTGTCTGTTGATGTCAGGCAACCATGGTCTGTACAACTTCATGCTCTGTCATCACTCTGTTACCTGTCTGTTGATGTCAGGCCACTGTGGTCTGTACAACTTCATGCTCTGTCATCACTCTGTTACCTGTCTGTTGATGTCAGGCAACCGTGGTCTGTACAACTTCATGCTCTGTCATCACTCTGTTACCTGTCTGTTGATGTCAGGCCACTGTGGTCTGTACAACTTCTTGCTCTGTCATCACTCTGTTACCTGTCTGTTGATGTCAGGCAACCGTGGTCTGTAAAACTTCTTGCTCTGTCATCACTCTGTTACCTGTCTGTTGATGTCAGGCCACTGTGGTCTGTACAACTTTTTGCTCTGTCATCACTCTGTTACCTGTCTGTTGATGTCAGGCAACCGTGGTCTGTACAACTTCTTGCTCTGTCATCACTCTGTTACCTGTCTGTTGATGTCAGGCCACTGTGGTCTGTACAACTTCATGCTCTGTCATCACTCTGTTACCAGTCTGTTGATGTCAGGCAACCGTGGTCTGTACAACTTCATGCTCTGTCATCACTCTTGTTACCTGTCTGTTGATGTCAGGCCACTGTGGTCTGTACAACTTCATGCTCTGTCATCACTCTGTTACCTGTCTGTTGATGTCAGGCAACCGTGGTCTGTACAACTTCTTGCTCTGTCATCACTCTGTCTGTAGCCCAGTGTCCTTATTGTGTTGCACTTCTCCAGTGGCTTGATGATGGATTTGTTCAACTTCGTCCAGGATTCAGCTACATCATCTATCCATATCTTCCACTTGCCTTCTACCCAGATGTAGAAGGTCTTATAAATAGTTGGTCTGGCTGCATTATTCTTAGATGGCAAACTAATTCATTCTTTATTTTTTCTGCATTCTTTTTAGATGGCAAACCAATACATTCTCTATTTTTCAATGCCATCCCAGCAAAACTTGTTCCTATCTTCTCTCTAATGCTGATATAAAGACCACTGAGCTAAGGGACATCATCAAGTTAATGTAGTGCAGACAGTAAAAAAGAGAGTTACCTACCCCTTTGACAGTGGTCATCAGTTCAGCAATGTTGGTGAATCCCTGAGCCAAAGCCATGATCTCTCCCGTGATGCCGTCCTTTTAGGCAAGAGGAAGAGAGAGAGTGATCGATACACATATTGTAACATAATGACAGGCAAGGGAAGAGAGAGAGAGTGATTGATACACATATTGTAACATTATGACAGGCAAGAGGAAGAGAGAGAGTGATTGATACACATATAGAGAGAGAGAGAGAGAGAGAGAGAGAGAGAGATCTGTACACATACTGTAACACAATGACAGGCAAGAGGAAGATAGAGACAAATCTATACACATACTGTAACATAATGACAGGCAAGAGGAAAGGAAGAGAGAGAGAGACAGAGAGATCTGTTCACATACTGTAACATAATGACAGGCAAGAGGAAAAGAGAGACAGATCTGTTCACATACTGTAACATAATGACAGGCAAGAGGAAGAAAGAGACAGATCTGTTCACATACTGTAACATAATGACAGGCAAGAGGAAGAGAGAGACAGATCTGCTCACATACTGTAACATAATGACAGGCAAGAGGAAGAGAGAGACAGATCTGTTCACATACTGTAACATAATGACAGGCAAGATGAAGAGAGAGAGACAGATCTGTTCACATACTGTAACATAATGACAGGCAAGAGGAAGAGAGAGACAGATCTGTTCACATTCTGTAACATAGTGACAGGGGTGAGGAAGAGAGAGACAGATCTGTTCACATACTGTAACATAATGATAGGCAAGAGGAAGAAAGAGACAGATCTGTACACATACTGTAACATAATGACAGGCAAGAGGAAGAGAGAGACAGATCTGTTCACATACTGTAACATAATGACATGCAAGAGGAAGAGACAGACAGATCTGTACACATACTGTAACATAATGACAGGCAAGAGGAAGAGAAAGACAAATCTGTACACATACTGTAACATAATGACAGGCAAGAGGAAGAGAGAGACAAATCTGTACACATACTGTAACATAATGACAGGCAAGAGGAAGAGAGAGATAAATCTGTACACATACTGTAACATAATGACAGGCAAGAGGAAGAGAGAGACAAATCTGTACACATACTGTAACATAATGACAGGCAAGAGGAAGAAAGAGACAGGTCTGTTCACATACTGTAACATAATGACAGGCAAGAGGAAGAGGGAGACAAATCTGTACACATACTGTAACATGATGATAGGCAAGAGGAAGAGAGAGACAGATCTGTTCACATTCTGTAACATAATGACAGGCAAGAGAAAGAAAGAGACAGATCTGTACACATACTGTAACATAATGACAGGGGTGAGGAAGAGAGAGACAGGTCTGTCCACATACTGTAAAATAATGACAGGCAAGAGGAAGAGAGAGACAGATCTGTACACATACTGTAACATAATGACAGGCAAGAGGAAGAGAGAGACAAATCTGTACACATACTGTAACATAATGACAGGCAAGAGGAAGAAAGAGACAGATCTGTTCACATACTGTAACATAATGACATGCAAGAGGAAGAGACAGACAGATCTGTACACATACTGTAACATAATGACAGGCAAGAGGAAGAGAAAGACAAATCTGTACACATACTGTAACATAATGACAGGCAAGAGGAAGAGAGAGACAAATCTGTACACATACTGTAACATAATGACAGGCAAGAGGAAGAGAGAGATAAATCTGTACACATACTGTAACATAATGACAGGCAAGAGGAAGAGAGAGACAAATCTGTACACATACTGTAACATAATGACAGGCAAGAGGAAGAAAGAGACAGGTCTGTTCACATACTGTAACATAATGACAGGCAAGAGGAAGAGGGAGACAAATCTGTACACATACTGTAACATGATGATAGGCAAGAGGAAGAGAGAGACAGATCTGTTCACATTCTGTAACATAATGACAGGCAAGAGAAAGAAAGAGTCAGATCTGTACACATACTGTAACATAATGACAGGGGTGAGGAAGAGAGAGACAGGTCTGTTCACATACTGTAAAATAATGACAGGCAAGAGGAAGAGAGAGACAGATCTGTACACATACTGTAACATAATGACAGGCAAGAGGAAGAGAGAGACAAATCTGTACACATACTGTAACATAATGACAGGCAAGAGGAAGAGAGAGACAGATCTGTACACATACTGTAACATAATGACAGGCAAGAGGAAGAGAGAGAAAAATCTGTACACATACTGTAACATAATGATAGGCAAGAGGAAGAGAGAGACAAATCTGTACACATACTGTAACTTAATGACAGGCAAGAGGAAGAGAGAGACAGATCTGTTCACATTCTGTAACATAATGACAGGGGTGAGGAAGAGAGAGACAGATCTGTTCACATACTGTAACATAATGACAGACAAGAGGAAGAAAGAGACAAATCTGTACACATACTGTAACATAATGACAGGCAAGAGGAAGAAAGAGACAGATCTGTACACATACTGTAACATAATGACAGGTAAGAGGAAGAGAGAGACAGATCTGTACACATACTGTAACATAATGACAGGCAAGAGGAAGAAAGAGACAGATCTGTACACATACTGTAACATAATGACAGGCAAGAGGAAGAGAGAGACAGATCTGTTCACATACTGTAACATAATGACAGGCAAGAGGAAGAAAGAGACAGATCTGTTTACATACTGTAACATAATGACAGGCACACACAAAAAGATGGTAGTGGGGTGGGGGGAAGATCGTGAACATATATATACAGTAACAACCTGACTGACAACAGAAAGATAGATCTTATGTACATACACCAAACCAAAATCCCAGGCACTGTGGAAAGGGGGGAGGGGTCATAAACATACACTGCAACAACCTGACATATAAGTGAAAGAGAGACAGAGGGGAGAGACAGAGGGAGAGAGAAGGAGAGAGAGAGGAGCGAGAGAGGAAGAGAGAGAGAGAGATCATGTCAGTGTGACACATACTGTAACAGTTACAGATAAAAGAATGAGTGACCCTTGAGTCATGTGTAATATCTTCTCACCCTCATCAAGCAAACATATCTGTAGGTATCACCGATGGTAACTGCTTTGGTAACCATCATTATTATCATCATCATGTGCCTCAACAACTGTGCAAACATATCTGTAGGTATCACCGATGGTAACTGCTTTGGTAACCATCATTATTATCATCATCATGTGCCTCAACAACTGACATGTGTAATATGCTTTCCTTGCAGTCCCCTATGGAATTTCTCTGTTCTCAGTTGGAGCAACTATTTGTCAGCCCAGAAAATCTGCTCACAGACTTGACTGGATCATTTTACAACTATTTGTCAGCCCAGAAAATCTGCTCACAGACTTGACTGGATCATTTTACAACTATTTGTCAGCCCAGAAAATCTGCTCACAGACTTGACTGGATCATTTTACAACTATTTGTCAGCCCAGAAAATCTGCTCACAGACTTGACTGGATCATTTTACAACTATTTGTCAGCCCAGAAAATCTGCTCACAGACTTGACTGGATCATTTTACAACTATTTGTCAGCCCAGAAAATCTGCTCACAGACATGACTGGATCATTTTACAACTATTTGTCAGCCCAGAAAATCTGCTCACTTACTTGACTGGATCATTTTACAACTATTTGTCAGCCCAGAAAATCTGCTCACAGACTTGACTGGATCATTTTAAAACTATTTGTCAGCCCAGAAAATCTACTCACAGACTTGACTGGATCATTTTACAACTATTTGTCAGCCCAGAAAATCTGCTCACTTACTTGACTGGATCATTTTACAACTATTTGTCAGCCCAGAAAATCTGCTCACATACTTGACTGGATCATTTTACAACTATTTGTCTGTGATTTTACTTGTCAATTGAACATCCATTTGTTTGTGATTTTACTGAACAATTTTACACCCATTCGCCTGTGATTTTACTTGATGATTTAACATCCATTTGTTTGTGGTTTTACTTTTCAATTTTACATCGACTTGTAACTAAAATCAATGTAAAGCAATCTACTGTCAAGTTACTGCAGCTGGCTCTGGACTTATGACATTGTGGTTCATAATTCCTACTTCACAGACGCATAGAAAGTTGTACTTAGCAAAATAAGAAGCTATTTCCTGTGTGGGTTCCAGGCACCATAGAAGGGGGGGGGGGGGGGGGGGAGAGGAAAGGTGTTAGGGTTAAATAGACCCACTGAGTCTTTAACAAGCATGCTGTAAAAAGCTAGTCAATGGGGAGAAGAAGAAGAAGAAGAAGAAAAAGAAGAAGAAGAAGAAAAAACAGATGAAATGACCACACCCAAATGAAATAAATAGCTGCATCCATATTAAATTAAACAACAAAGATAATCTGTAGGTTCTGCAAGAAATAACTAACACATGCAAGCAGACAGACTGACCTTGTTGATGACATCTGGATTGGCACCAACCATGAGCAGACATCGTACAATCTCTATATGACCAAATTTACAAGCCAAGTGAAGGGGAGTTAATCCATCCTGTTAAATATGAGTAGCCTCCCTTTAGTCCACACGTTTTAAAGTATAACATTTGGGCCATCCTCCGAATAACGGGCACAAAGCAGCAGCTTCCGCATCTCCTGCAGCTTTGCTCGTGAGTCCTAGCCATCTAGTTCAGCCCCAATCCAAACCGCTCACGCGGCATGGGGGATACTCTCGGCGGTGGCGGTAGTCGCAGGAAAACCGCAAATTAGGTCGCCAGAAGTGTGCAATTGACACGTTACTGAGGCCCTGTTTTTGGCCGCCATCTTTTGTGCCCACTATTCGGAGGATAGCCAACATTTGTAAACATGACATCTCACAGACAAATAAAAGTGTGACATTTGTAAACATGGGTGAATCTATGATATCTCACAGACAAATAAAAGTGTGACATTTGTAAACATGGGTGAATCTATGATATCTCACAGACAAATAAAAGTGTGACATTTGTAAACATGGGTGAATCTATGATATCTCACAGACAAATAAAAGTGTGACATTAGTAAACATGGGTGAATCTATGACATCTCACAGACAAATAAAAGTGTGACATTAGTAAACATGGGTGAATCTATGATATCTCACAGACAAATAAAAGTGTGACATTAGTAAACATGGATGAATCTATGATATCTCACAGACAAATAAAAGTGTGACATTAGTAAACATGGGTGAATCTATGACATCTCACAGACAAATAAAAGTGTGACATTAGTAAACATGGGTGAATCTATGATATCTCACAGACAAATAAAAGTGTGACATTAGTAAACATGGGTGAATCTATGATATCTCACAGACAAATAAAAGTGTGACATTAATAAACATGGGTGAATCTATGACATCTCACAGACAAATAAAAGTGTGACATTTGTAAACATGGGTGAATCTATGATATCTCACAGACAAATAAAAGTGTGACATTTGTAAACATGGGTGAATCTATGATATCTTAGATAAATAAAAGTATGACACTGTAAACATGAATGATTCTTTGATAACTCAAACACAAATTGTAGAAGCAGTTTCCTCCTTTGCATTTGTCCGTCAAAAAGGCATGAGGCAGGCTATTTTGTGGTTTACAGCTAGGGCGGGATTCCAGCTAATTCTGAATAGGTCACATTTTTATGATATGCCTATAAATGGTATGTAGGTTTTCCTACCACCACCAAAATGAGGCCCAAGAAGCCACACACAGAGAGAACGGTCAATTTAAGTTATATGAGAGTGGAAGAGACAGGGGTTCACAACTATAGGTGGAAGAATACTGTCAAGTAACAGATGGAGAGCGATATTAGTTCACAATAACACACGAGGAGACTGAGCACTGGTTGGTGAGCCCACTTACTGTTGAGGTGGTGTCCACATTGGCCCCAAGACAGCACATGGTCTGCACTACAGACAGCAGACCTTCTCGAGCTGCACAATGTAGGGGGCACTCGCCAGTCTCCTGTCGGGAAAACAAATATATGTTCACATGAGATAACTGACAGTGCCTACTCACAAAAATATATGTTCACATGAGATACCTGAGAGTATCTACTCACAAAAATATATGTTCACATGAGATAACTGACAGTGCCCATTCACAAAAATATATGTTCACATGTGATACCTGACAGTGCCCAGTCACAAAAATACATGTTCACATGTGATACCTGACAGTGCCCAGTCACAAAAATACATGTTCACAAGTGATAACTGACAGTGCCCAGTCACAAAAATACATGTTCACATGTGATAACTGACAGTGCCCAGTCACAAAAATACATGTTCACATGTGATAACTGACAGTGCCCAGACAAAAACTATGACATATTAAGCCGTGCAGTGACATAATGTTAAATAAAATTTAAATTGTTTAGTGAAGTGTTTACTGTTTTGTGAGATAGTTCATGATATTCATTTACTTTTACATTCACTTATCTTTAGTTCACTAAACAGGGTTTTATCAGACACACAAACATACTTTTATACCTACTTACACACAAATATAAATGATGGAGGGAAAGATGACACCACACATTAAGATGACACCACACATTAGGATGACACCACACATTAGGATGATACCATACATTCAGATGACACCACACATTAGGATGATACCATAAATTAAGATGACATCCCAAATTAACAATCACTTCTCACAAACTTAAAAACACTTGTAACAATCCCTTCTCACCTTATAATAAAGACATTAAAGAGATTAGTTTTTTTGTCAGAACTGCAAGGTGTATAATTGTTACGACTGGTGAACCAGAACCTGACTGGTGAAACCTAAACCTGACTGGTGAGCCTGACTGATAAAACTGACTGGTGAAACCTAAACCTGTCTGGTGAATCTGAACCTGACTGGTGAATCTGAACCTGACTGGTGAAATCTAAACCTGAATGGTGAAATCTAAACCTGAATGGTGAGCCTGAACCTGACTGGTGAACCTGAACCTGACTGATAAAACTGACTGGTGAACCTGAACCTGACTAGCAAAACCGAACCTGACTGCTGAAACCAACTGATGAACCTCTCTCATCTTCTGCTTGCAATCATTGTCTGAGCTGATAACACCATCAGACAACTTCTCATAATCGTCAACATTTTTGGGGATTTTGTCTTTAGGTCCAGTTTTTAATGCTAACGTGAATTCAGAGGGTCCACAGAAGCAGTGGGTGAAGCAGGGTGATAAAGCTGGGACAACAGTTTAATCAAACTGTTTTACCTCAGTTCTCAACTTTCCTGACAGGGAGTGCTCTCTGCTTTATGTGTGGTGTCATCTTTACAGGTCTGTCTGTTCATTTTGTCACACATACTCTGTGTTGCTATTCCAGCTGCTGCTGCTGCAAGTTGACCAAAGAATGTCCAAAGCCAGCTGCTGCTGCTGCAAGTTGACCAAAGAATGTCCAAAGCCAGCTGCTGCAAGTTGACCACAAAATGTCCACAGCCAGCTGCTGCTGCTGCAAGTTGACCACAGCATGTCCACAGCCAGCTGCTGCTGCTGCAAGTTGACCACAGAATGTCCACAGCCAGCACACAAAAGACCACCCTCAGTAGGTCACAGGTTGTACTAACCTATTTTCTACAAATATTTGCAGAGTTATCTGAACCTGGTTCCCACATCAGAAATAGTGATCTTCAAGTCATTGCCCACCAAAGGTCAGGTTGTATCTCAACAAATGTGCAATATTATCAATTGTGAATGATGCAGTCTAGCTGATGATACAATTGTTTAGTGAGATAGTTTATGATAATCTTTGTACTGGCCACTATGAGAAATAATAATACTAAAGCAAATTTACACACAAAAGTCACATTCTGCAAAAGTATAAAACATTAGAGATGGCAAGAACAGTTTCAGATAGCAAACATAATTTGCAAGAGTGCTGTACCTTGTCCATGATGTCCAGCTTACAGCCGCTGTTGAGGATCAGTAAGGCAATGGTCGAATTGTGCCTCTGGCAGGCCAGGTGGAGAGCAGTGCTACCTCTCTGTAACACAAACGGGCAGAAACTGTCACATAGCCATCTCACCCCAGCTGCACACATAGATCATGTACTACCTTATGTGTCTACATATGTTAGGTACTGCCTTATGTGTCTACATATGTTAGGTACTACCTTATGTGTCTACATATGTTAGGTACTAGGTACTACCTTATGTGTCTACATATGTTAGGTACTACCTTATGTGTCTACATATGTTAGGTACTGCCTTATGTGTCTACATATGTTAGGTACTACCTTATGTGTCTACATATGTTAGGTACTACCTTATGTGTCTACATATGTTAGGTACTACCTTATGTGTCTACATATGTTAGGTACTGCCTTATGTGTCTACATATGTTAGGTACTGCCTTATGTGTCTACATATGTTAGGTACTGCCTTATGTGTCTACATATGTTAGGTACTGCCTTATGTGTCTACATATGTTAGGTACTGCCTTATGTGTCTACATATGTTAGGTACTGCCTTATGTGTCTACATATGTTAGGTACTGCCTTATGTGTCTACATATGTTAGGTACTGCCTTATGTGTCTACATATGTTAGGTACTGCCTTATGTGTCTACATATGTTAGGTACTACCTTATGTGTCTACATATGTTAGGTACTGCCTTATGTGTCTACATATGTTAGGTACTGCCTTATGTGTCTACATATGTTAGGTACTGCCTTATGTGTCTACATATGTTAGGTACTACCTTTTGTGTCTCATATGTTAGGTACATATATGTTAGGTACTGCCTTATGTGTCTACATATGTTAGGTACTGCCTTATGTGTCTACATATGTTAGGTACTGCCTTATGTGTCTACATATGTTAGGTACTACCTTATGTGTCTACATATGTTAGGTACTGCCTTATGTGTCTACATATGTTAGGTACTGCCTTATGTGTCTACATATGTTAGGTACTACCTTATGTGTCTACATATGCTAGGTACTGTCTTATGTGTCTACATATGTTAGGTACTGTCTTATGTGTCTACATATGCTAGGTACTGTCTTATGTGTCTACATATGTTAGGTACTGTCTTATGTGTCTACATATGCTAGGTACTGTCTTATGTGTCTACATATGCTAGGTACTGCCTTATGTGTCTACATATGTTAGGTACTGCCTTATGTGTCTACATATGTTAGGTACTGCCTTATGTGTCTACATATGTTAGGTACTACCTTATGTGTCTACATATGTTAGGTACTGCCTTATGTGTCTACATATGTTAGGTACTGCCTTATGTGTCTACATATGTTAGGTACTGCCTTATGTGTCTACATATGTTAGGTACTACCTTATGTGTCTACATATGTTAGGTACTGCCTTATGTGTCTACATATATTAGGTACTACCTTATGTGTCTACATATGTTAGGTACTACCTTATGTGTCTACATATGTTAGGTACTACCTTATGTGTCTACATATGTTAGGTACTACCTTATGTGTCTACATATGTTAGGTACTACCTTATGTGTCTACATATGTTAGGTACTACCTTATGTGTCTACATATGTTAGGTACTGTCTTATGTGTCTACATATGTTAGGTACTGCCTTATGTGTCTACATATGTTAGGTACTACCTGTCTACATATGTGTCTACATATGTGTTACATATGTTAGGTACTGCCTTATGTGTCTACATATGTTAGGTACTACCTTATGTGTCTACATATGTTAGGTACTGCCTTATGTGTCTACATATGTTAGGTACTGCCTTATGTGTCTACATATGCTAGGTACTACCTTATGTGTCTACATATGTTAGGTACTACCTTATGTGTCTCTACATATGTTAGGTACTACCTTATGTGTCTACATATGTTAGGTACTGCCTTATGTGTCTACATATGTTAGGTACTACCTTATGTGTCTACATATGTTAGGTACTACCTTATGTGTCTACATATGTTAGGTACTACCTTATGTGTCTACATATGTTAGGTACTGCCTTATGTGTCTACATATATTAGGTACTACCTTATGTGTCTACATATGTTAGGTACTACCTTATGTGTCTACATATGTTAGGTACTACCTTATGTGTCTACATATGTTAGGTACTACCTTATGTGTCTACATATGTTAGGTACTACCTTATGTGTCTACATATGTTAGGTACTACCTTATGTGTCTACATATGTTAGGTACTGCCCTTATGTGTCTACATATGTTAGGTACTACCTTATGTGTCTACATATGTTAGGTACTGCCTTATGTGTCTACATATGTTAGGTACTGCCTTATGTGTCTACATATGTTAGGTACTACCTTATGTGTCTACATATGTTAGGTACTGCCTTATGTGTCTACATATGTTAGGTACTACCTTATGTGTCTACATATGTAGGTACTACCTTATGTGTCTACATATGTTAGGTACTACCTTATGTGTCTACATATGTTAGGTACTGCCTTATGTGTCTACATATGTTAGGTACTGCCTTATGTGTCTGGCCTTATGTGTCTACATATGTTTAGGTACTGCCTTATGTGTCTACATATGTTAGGTACTACCTTATGTGTCTACATATGTTAGGTACTGCCTTATGTGTCTACATATATTAGGTACTACCTTATGTGTCTACATATGTTAGGTACTACCTTATGTGTCTACATATGTTAGGTACTACCTTATGTGTCTACATATGTTAGGTACTACCTTATGTGTCTACATATGTTAGGTACTACCTTATGTGTCTACATATGTTAGGTACTACCTTATGTGTCTACATATGTTAGGTACTGTCTTATGTGTCTACACATATGTTAGGTACTGCCTTATGTGTCTACATATGTTAGGTACTACCTTATGTGTCTACATATGTTAGGTACTGCCTTACCTTATGTGTCTACATATGTTAGGTACTACCTTATGTGTCTACATATGTTAGGTACTGCCTTATGTGTCTACATATGTTAGGTACTGCCTTATGTGTCTACATATGTTAGGTACTGCCTTATGTGTCTACATATGTTAGGTACTACCTTATGTGTCTACATATGTTAGGTACTACCTACATATGTTAGGTACTACCTTATGTGTCTACATATGTTAGGTACTACCTTATGTGTCTACATATGTTAGGTACTACCTTATGTGTCTACATATGTTAGGTACTACCTTATGTGTCTACATATGTTAGGTACTACCTTATGTGTCTACATATGTTAGGTACTACCTTATGTGTCTACATATGTTAGGTACTACCTTATGTGTCTACATATGTTAGGTACTACCTTATGTGTCTACATATGTTAGGTACTACCTTATGTGTCTACATATGTTAGGTACTACCTTATGTGTCTACATATGTTAGGTACTACCTTATGTGTCTACATATGTTAGGTACTACCTTATGTGTCTACATATGTTAGGTACTACCTTATGTGTCTACATATGTTAGGTACTACCTTATGTGTCTACATATGTTAGGTACTACCTTATGTGTCTACATATGTTAGGTACTACCTTATGTGTCTACATATGTTAGGTACTACCTTATGTGTCTACATATGTTAGGTACTACCTTATGTGTCTACATATGTTAGGTACTACCTTATGTGTCTACATATGTTAGGTACTACCTTATGTGTCTACATATGTTAGGTACTACCTTATGTGTCTACATATGTTAGGTACTACCTTATGTGTCTACATATGTTAGGTACTACCTTATGTGTCTACATATGTTAGGTACTACCTTATGTGTCTACATATGTTAGGTACTACCTTATGTGTCTACATATGTTAGGTACTACCTTATGTGTGTAGGTACTACCTTATGTGTATGTATACACCTTATGTGTCTACATATGTTAGGTACTACCTTATGTGTCTACATATGTTAGGTACTACCTTATGTGTCTACATATGTTAGGTACTGCCTTATGTGTCTACATATGTTAGGTACTGCCTTATGTGTCTACATATGTTAGGTACTACCTTATGTGTCTACATATGTTAGGTACTGCCTTATGTGTCTACATATGTTAGGTACTACCTTATGTGTCTACATATGTTAGGTACTACCTTATGTGTCTACATATGTTAGGTACTATCTTATGTGTCTACATATGTTAGGTACTGCCTTATGTGTCTACATATGTTAGGTACTACCTTATGTGTCTACATATGTTAGGTACTGCCTTATGTGTCTACATATGTTAGGTACTGCCTTATGTGTCTACATATGTTAGGTACTGCCTTATGTGTCTACATATGTTAAGTACTGCCTTATGTGTCTACATATGTTAAGTACTGCCTTATGTGTCTACATATGTTAGGTACTACCTTATGTGTCTACATATGTTAGGTACTACCTTATGTGTCTACATATGTTAGGTACTGCCTTATGTGTCTACATATGTTAGGTACTGCCTTATGTGTCTACATATGTTAGGTACTACCTTATGTGTCTACATATGTTAGGTACTGCCTTATGTGTCTACATATGTTAGGTACTACCTTATGTGTCTACATATGTTAGGTACTACCTTATGTGTCTACATATGTTAGGTACTACCTTATGTGTCTACATATGTTAGGTACTGCCTTATGTGTCTACATATGTTAGGTACTACCTTATGTGTCTACATATGTTAGGTACTACCTTATGTGTCTACATATGTTAGGTACTGCCTTATGTGTCTACATATGTTAGGTACTGCCTTATGTGTCTACATATGTTAGGTACTGCCTTATGTGTCTACATATGTTAGGTACTGCCTTATGTGTCTACATATGTTAGGTACTGCCTTATGTGTCTACATATGTTAGGTACTGCCTTATGTGTCTACATATGTTAGGTACTGCCTTATGTGTCTACATATGTTAGGTACTGCCTTATGTGTCTACATATGTTAGGTACTGCCTTATGTGTCTACATATGTTGTACTGCCTTAGTGTCTACTAGGTACTACCTTATGTGTCTACATATGTTAGGTACTGCCTTATGTGTCTACATATGTTAGGTACTGCCT